ATAAGGCTTGGCTGGAATTGTGAAAGAGTTTGAATAGACGAGAAGTAAATTTATAAACTATTAACTTTTTGAAAAGTTGTCGTTTTTATTGAGCTTATAGCAACAAATATACCCAACCAACCGTCAGAAATGGCAGCAAAGCATTCGTCATCAAAAGGGAATGGCTGAGTTCCGTCCGGGCAACTCTGCGCTTGGATTGCAATCAAAAACGCGCCGAAGAAAAGCGCAAAACTCAAGAAATTCATTTCGCACAAATGGTCTTCTCTTATCGGGGTGAAGCTCGGCACACGTGATTCACAAAATACAATTACCCCGCTCTTATCATGCTTGCACTCCCAGTTCAAAGATTCTAGTGTTGAAGTCAGCAAGTTCGAGAAGGACTGAAAGTGTATCATCACATAATACACTAAATTAGTGCATAAGTCTCTAGAAGCTTTCACAAACTTCTGGATATCTCAAATTTGATCCCAATCCAATACAATAATTTTGACGAACTTGTAATTATTTCTGTCAAAAGCAGGTGCAAAATAAGTTTTTCCAAAGCAAAAAATTTGAAAATGTCACAGAATCAAAAAATTAGAAAAGAGCTAGGGGATTGGATCGAGAACGGACAGATTCTCCAACCAAGACTTCATATTTTGCCATGCTCGACGAACCATTTATCTACTTATGGTATGAACAGGTTATAACGATAATCTCCACTCCACTCAACCTATTCAAATGTATTGCATCTTGCTGCACACACCACCAGAAATGAGGGAATATCGAGCACATTTGGCTGTATACCAGGTATGCCAATGTATCCAGACAGGACTCGACTTGACGGCTCTCTTTGGCCGAGACTGAAAACAAAAAATGTGCACCGGTCGGGAGTACCGGGCGACTGCTAATGGGTTACAGGGAAGCTCATATCCAATTGGATATGACGATATTTTATTACGGTCTTATGAATTTATAGGGAATCGCGTCGTTGCTGGATTTTGTCATTCTCCTCATTCGCCCTGAGCTCAATTTCCCCGCGTTAGCCGGAAGAATCTTTGGCGTCTGGGATACGTGGTTTCAGCTGGGAGCTGGACATGCGTTGGTCAGTGAAGAACTTCAATAAAATTTAAATATAAAGAATAAACCTGGAAAAGCTTGACAAAATACTCATTAAAAGTTCTCTGTGCCTGTCCACAAAGCCCGAATTGTCGAATCCGGCTGTGAACGAAACTTCCCGGATTTCATCAGTTTTAAGCATCAAACAACTGTTATGCGCTTTGGGTTGACTATCTTTGCTACTTTTTGTTTATTATGTTGACTTTCAAAAATGTTATTTACTCATTAAAAGTTCGCCTGTCCACAAAGCCCGAATTGTCGAAGAGTGGTGTGAACGAAACTCCCCGGATTTCATCAGCTTTAAGCAGTGGCCACCATCAAGCCCTGATTTAAGTCTGATGGATTACTCAGCGTGGGGTGTTCTTGACGTAAAGACCTGCTCAAAGGCATGGTCAAGCTTTGATTCACTGAAAGAATCACTCCAGAAAGCTTGGGCTGAACTCGATCCCTGTATCTTTTGGCCAAAACGTCTCATCTCTTGTGCAACCGCCCATGGAGATATTTTCGAGAAGAAATAAACCCAATTGTTGAAAGAGATCTAGAGATTAAATTTGCCAATGTTAATTTTTGTTTCTTCGATAAAAAGGTTTTTAAACTATGGATTTTATTGTTTTGGGTAATTCTGGGGCACCCTGTATAGTTAAATTCCAATACAGTCAAAATTTCCAAATTCAGGGCTGCGGTGCCTACTTGGTTGGAGCAGTCACATATTCCATCGATCAGCTCTTCTTTTACAAATGGCAGAGTCTTTTACCGGATGAAAGTCAGCTGAAGTGGATCACGCGTTTAGCCGATTTAATATTTTCATTCCAGATTCTCTCGCGTTGGCCGCTCGATTTATTTATTCGCAATATATGGCTTGTTAGCAACACTGCTTGGACTGAGCTTCGAGTTGATGCCTATTCAAAAGGGAACAAGCAGTGAATTTTTGAAGATCGCTATTCAGGTATCTTTAGTTGCTGTGTTGATGTTGCTTGATTTTTCCATGATAATTTTGCTCGGAAAGTTTCGGCCAAAAGTTTTACAGTAAACTTTCTGGAAGAAAAGTACGTTCGGCGGGAAAACCAAGGACGTTTTACCGAAAAGATCAAAGGTCAAAGGAAAAGATTAGAGACGCCCCCGAAACTTTTCCCGAAGCGTACGGGCTCTGTATCTTGGCCCGGTTTAACTTTCAGAGATCATACTACACTTTTGCGTGTAACCGTATCTTATCACATTTCCTATTACATATGAGCGAAAAAACGAGAAGCCTTCAGAAGAAACTCTTCAGGACACTTTGCATTCAGGTTGCAAATCATGAGTGTATAATGATAGCAATTAAAGTCGGTGACCGTTTGAGCAAGTGTAAATTCAGACAGCGATCCCCGTCGTCTCACACACGATACCATGGGCCTACTATGCTATTGTGATCATTTGGTCACCAGGATATATCAACCAACGTGCGTGATGAATTGCCTCCAGGGGCAAACAGATTTACGTTATCAGAAAAAAGCGTCTAATGGTGAAAAAATAAAAACAAAATCTAGAGGAAAGAGGTGTAAATCCTTTTCCGGTGAACTAGCCTGTGATATCATATTAGGTTGTCCAGAATGAAAATACCCTTTTAGTGAAAAACAAATTTATCTCCACAAAAAGAAAACAATGTGCTTTAATCCAAAAGATCTTTTCCGTTGTTGGTGATAGTCTTTCTCCATTTTTCTTTCAATTCTCGGATCCCTTTGCTAAAGAAATCCTGAGGTTGCGAGTCGAAGTATTGGCCGACCCGAATTCGGGTTCGTCGTGATCCTTGAAGTGTTTATCGGTCAGGAAGGGCTGCATAGGTCGAAATAAGTGGTAGTCTGAGGGTGCCAGATCTGGACTATCCGGCGGATGCAGGAGACATCCCCAACCCAATTCCTAGAGTTTTTCCTGCGCCTTATTTGCTGTGTGTAGGCGTGCGTTATCTTGCAGATATCTCACAGTCGATGTGTTTACACCTTGATTCTTGAGAGCCTGGTCTACTCGTTCCAACTTTTGCACATATAGATCTGGGGTGACTGTTGGACGAGAAGGTAGAACCTCAAAGTGGATCAGACCACGGGACTTCCACCAAACAGATAACACTTTCTTCCATGAGGATCACGTTGTGGCGTCGTTTTTGGCTGTTCTCCTTGACCATACCACTGCCGCTTTTGCGATGGGTTATCGTAAAATAATGAAAAATAATAAATAATGATTTGATCTGTCTTCGCACTTAGCGCAGATCACAACCCGCTTCCACATTTACTGAGGCAGAAGTGTAGTTGTCGTAGCCGATGATACTCCGATGGCCGGGCTGGGGCGCTCGGAGGGGAACCCATGGGGGGGTTATCGTAGTAAATCCATTTTTCAACGGCCGTCATAATAGTGTCCCAAAGACCTCGATTTTTTGATTGACAAAGAAGAATATCGGCCATAGCCACTCGAGTAGGTTTATTAGCGTCACTAAATTGATGGGGTACCCATTTCCCGACGGGATTCGCTTTACCCAGACGATGTAAATGGTCCCCAACGGTTGTGTGGCCTACAGCCAACATCGTTGCAATTCCCGAGTCGACAAGATTGGACCAACAGCTTCTCGAAGATCGTCATCGTTGAGCGCTGGAGGGGGGTGGCCACGTCCTCGATCCTGTAGAGTTTCGTCTCCCGCTCTAAATCGTTGAAACCATTTGCTAAAAGCTTCCTCTAAATAAGCAGCTTCTCCAAAAGTTTTCAAGATTGAGCTATGGCTCTACCGGACACTTTTTCATTGTTTGAAGTCGTAGAGCAAGCACACCCGAATTCGGTACTTCTGATCTTCCATTCTAAAAAAAGGCAAAATTATAAGGCAGTAAATTTTTATAAAAACATAGAATTAGAAAAGATATATAACTTTACAACAAAACAAAAATGAGACGCGAAACTGTTTGCTACACCAGAAACATTGCAATCGAAGTTGAGGGTATTTTCATTCCGGACACCCTAATAATTCTTGTAAATGTAAACCAAATCATTGTTTAGCGCTGAATAACTTCTTCTTTGCAATCTTTGAAATGCACGGAACAAACGGATCGATTGGCCTATTGTTGCTGACCGAACCATATAGAAGATTCACTCGGGGAATCCTGAGGAAGATTCCCGTCTTGGGGAAATTTACAACGCTCAATCTGACACGAATTCACATTTTCGGGACGTCGTCCGGAATGGAGCAATGAATTTTTTTATTGATATATGTTTTGCCTATAAAACATAAAGGCTATTCAAACTAAAATATTCGTTAGTATATTTTCTCAATATTTTCACTTGCATTCCTGAAGTGAATATTAGGTCTTAAACTGTCTTGACCCCAAATTTAAAACAATATTTATCGACAACCAAAAGCGCAGTTGAAGCTAAATATTCTCCAGCATTTGCGATTACTTCCACCCATTTTACTGGCAATTGGCGGATTCTCCTCTCATAGAAAATTTTGTTTTCGAGTCAAAATAGTCTTGAAACCACTTTTTGAGGTCTTCATTTTGGAACTGCTCTACATCCAGGGCGTGTTGCATCGATCGGAAAGGATGGTAATCTGTAGGACTGGGGTCAGGAGAATATAGTCTTTGGAAAACGTGTACCATTGTTCTAATAGGAAGAAAGATCAAATCTCCAAGGCTCTCAATCACTTTTAGAATTTTCAGCGAAATGATTTGATGAGAAAACAATCTGGATCGCTGACTTTTTTCTCATCAAACCTGATTCTTTGTCCTTCAGTTTTGATTTAAATAAATCGATTTACATAAAAACTCTTTTGATTCTTCCAATGCTCAAAACAATTTATTAGCACAAAACAAACATGAAACAACTAGAACCCGTTTTTTGATATTAGCAGCGATTTTTTAAAGCCTAAAATGAAATGAGATTCACAATCCTCTATGCCAAGATGGTTGCCAATTAGACAATGCCGAATCATTTTTGAATTGACACCACGAATGATCCATTTCGCCCATCGCCATCAGCATTGGCAACATCATTGAGAGGGAGGCCTGAATTGGGATCTTTCAGTCTCGTATTTGAATTCAACTTACAAAACCCCATAAGATCAACAAGCTGACAAAATTCCCACAACCAATTCGGAACCATAGCGTGATACAGTCGCAACCCCATGTCACCATACAGCTGATCAGGAAAAGAAGAGAATCGAAAAGGGTTGTGATTCTGGAAAATAGCCAATTTTGTTTAACTACACCTTTTAGGCTTTAGCCTGTCTCTAGATTCTGGAATCTTGCGGCAAAAGCAATTTTTCCGGATCTGGGCCCGGGTTTACCAAATGCTAAATTTAGCAAATTTCAAACTTGCTAATTTGACAAATTCCAAACTGTTAAATCTAAATTTGCTAAATCTAAACTTTTTGATAGACCTCTGTTTGCTAAATTTAGAAAACTTCCGTTTTGCAAAATTCAACGGGTCTACCAAAGCATTTAGCAAAATTCTTTAGCATTTTTTGCTAAACACCTCCGAGAGTGTTGAGCAGTGCTGCCAGCTCTGAGAAACACGTATAGCTTTGCACTGAACAAAGATATAAAAAACTAGTCACAGATTCGAATTTCGACATACTCTGGCTACAAAACAAGCCAAAATTTAGCCGATTTTGAGCACATAAAATTTTTTGAAAGAATTTAACCTCATTAAATGTCACAAAAACTATTTTTCTTTCTAATAACCTTTAAAATGATTAAGAATTATGTTTTGTACAGTAGAAAGATGATTGTGTTTTGTTAAAATTGATTTTAGCTAATCTCTAGTATGATTTTCTAGTCCTAGAGTCAATCCACAGCCAGTATAACGTTACACTAAACGAGTGCAAAAACGAAGCAAAATTGCTAGATGGTAATTTGGTATATATTTTTGTGGATCCGGGCCCTGCTCCTTTGTGCTATTTTGGTGTTGCTACAGGCTTAGAGGACAACGAAAATTCCTCGGCAACGAAAAATCCTATGATCCATTCTAGAATCCAGAATCAAACTTTCAATTTGGCACTTACTTAAACTGTTTATCTAATAATCTGAAACTAGATCTAGTAATTCAATACTAAGCTTTTATAAGACTTACATAAAGAAAACAAAAGAGAAAGTCGATTCATAATACGGCCGATCCGGTCCGAGATATTTTGCCGGTGCTGGGTAAACGATCCGCTGGAAATTCCCGAGTAGGAGAGCCAATGAGCAGAGAGTTCTCAGCAAAGTGATCACCAACTCAATTGAATCAGCCATCTCTTTACGATTCTCAACAATTTCCTCTTCTTCCTAGAACAGAAATTTTTAGTTTACTTCGTTTTCTTACCGATTCAGCGTTTGTTTTTGCAACGGTTTGTAGTTGAGTGGTTTCGGTGGCTGGCATTGGCTGTAGTTTATAGATTTCAGCTGAATTTAGTTTTAAAAAAGTAAAACTTGGTTTCTTACGGTGAGATTGGAAGTTGAGATTCTCGTCATCCAAATTCAAGATTCGGGGAGATCTAAACGTTATGAAATTGTGGTACTACTAACTTTTTTTTCTTCTAAACCACTTTTTCTGGGGTAGTTTGATGCGTAGATTTCAAAAAACACAATAAGAGCTTGGAAAAAAGCGTCTTAAGCCGAGTTTCGGGACTCCAAAGCTCATACAGTGTGATGAGAGGGATACACGTAGGGAAGAGGTCTAAAAATGGTCTCTCAAAGCATTCTTTGAAACCAAAAACGCTTCTTTTGGCATAATTTACCCTACTGATTACGTTCCTAATCAAATTGGAGCAAACTGAAAAATTTTTTTTCCAAATTTCGACCATGTGGTCCCCCACATGAGTAAAAATCGGTAAAAATCTCAAAAAATATTTTTTTGATTTTCTTTTGCCTTTACCAGTCAATTTAAGTTAGAAAATGAATATTTAGTGGTTAGAAATGGTTTTGGCTTTAGTTTTGATGTTGAAAAGTGCCCCAATAGTCAATAGCTTGGGCTAGATATAATGAAATACACTAGAGAAGCGTGCATTTTGGAGCCCCGAAACTCAACTTAAAACGTCTTTTCCCATGCTTTCGTTGTGTTTTTCGGAATCTACACATAAAATACCCCAAAAAAGTGGTTTTAAAGTAAAAAAAAAGGGCGCAGTATGAAATTTCATGAATCAACCAAAGCCATAACAAAAATTACAGAATGCGTTTACCGATTTCTCTAAAGTATGCCCAATTTTCCATAGCCAATCTTCCATAGAATTTCTTTGTTTCAAATCAATTGATTTTTCATTAATCTTTACGACTGTCTGGTTTACTATAAAACTGACTAAAGAGAACGGATACGGTAGCCGATTCGCACTTAAAAATGGCTACTCAATCCTGTGTTAGGAAGAAGTTATAAGTTTGCAAGTTCTGCTCGTAACAAGTTTTTTCTTTCTCAAATATTCTTTGTGACAAGTCACCAAAAAGCTGCTGCAGTCTAATAAAAAAATACCGTACGCTAAACAATGTCGAATATAAAGGATTCCTCCCTATTTAGTCAGAATTTTCTCTTTTATCTTGTGAAAGTTGGTTTCTTTTGTTCAAAATTCATCCACATTTTTCATCAAAGTGATTCCTTTTTGTCTCTAGGGCAAGACGTTGTTTCTTTGAGCTTTTTTCAAACATTTTCACCAGCTTTACCCCACGTGTATAGAATAAACTTGGTTTTGTGATTTATTCAAGGTCTAGCCACGTCTCGTGAATTCCCATGGAAAGTAAACTAGTAATTTGTAATACAGAACAAAATAGTTTTAATAGTTTTCCCCTGCATTCACCTCCTTTTTCTGTTGACCGATTTCATGTCGGGTCTCGGCCTTTTTCTCTCCTTTGAACAACAAGTTGTCTCTTTTGGGTCTCCCCGTTGGATGATCAATGTTTCTCTTTCATAAATGAACTGAAAAGACGAATTTCTTAAAAGATCGACTTTTAAAACCATTTAAAACCATTTAAAACCATTAAAACCATTTTACTTTTATAATATGGTTTTTACAACCTTTGAAATGGCTTCTATTCTTAAGCTGAAAGAATTTCTCATGACGAGAATGTGATTCACTGCAATCAAAATAGATGGCATTGAATTGAAATTGAAATTGAATTGAATCAGCCAGGAAATTGAATCAAAAGCTATTGAGCTAGAGAAATGTTTGATTTTTCTTTAAAATTGAGATTTTAGTTGTATTGTAGACTATTTTTGTTATATTTTATTTTTGTTATTTTGCTCACCTCTAATGATTGACTTGGGTAAAGAGCTCGTTTCTTCAATAAATTTAAAAACGTGAATAAATAATTGTAATCCCGTAGCATTGGAAAACAAAAACAAAGGAAGAACTCCGTCCATAACCTGGAAATAAAGGATTGTTCAAATTTGTGAAACTCTAGAAATGATCGAAATGATTGAAGGTGATCGAAATCACAAGATATTTCAAGGTCATTTCATTTGGCTCAACATCAAAATCACCAAATTTACTAGAGAAACTGACCACAATAAATCATAGGCTTTCCAAAGAGTGAAATAGACACAATTCGTGTAGATATAGTAGCCAAAGTTGAAGTGCTGAAAAGGTAAAAAAATCGCTTTTGAAAACTTCAAATTTTTCAGCTCAAGTTTTTCAGCTCAAGTTTTTCAGTTTCACGTTTCATTCGTGATGTATTAGATAGCTAATTTGTTAGTTTTTAAATTCATCTAAAAATTTAGACCAATTAAACCCGATTTCCACTTGGTAGACTCAATAAAATGAATAGCTCGAATCGATTTTTGCTCACTATGCCCCAAATTCTTGCGAAAGAGTTTTTCCCTTAAATCTTTTTCTTTTTGTTTGTCTTTTAAATAGATAGTCTTAAACTTCTGAAATGCATTCTTATTTTAAAAAATAAACCTGCAAGGCTGTGATGAAAGCCTGGTAGCATAGCCAAAATTTGAAACAACGGTAGCCCATCTATAGACAAAAATTGAGCAATGTTTCTGCGGTGAAAATTTTTGCAGAAAGCAAACAAGAGAAAAATGTTGGTGGGGGTTTCTCTTTTGAAAGGGGCATGATGGGGAAAGGATGGTTGCTGAGGAGAGTTTTGGCGAAAAGAAAAGAGGGAAAGCAATGCGAGATCGGTGGAGGTTACAGAGAAAACTTTTCTAGTTTTAAAAAATCTTTTTCCTTTTTTCTCTACTAACTTTTGGAAAGAGTTTTTCCTCACAAAATCCTCGTGAAGTGAGTGACATGAAACCGCAGCTATGAACCGATTTAAGAGTATTTCAAAAAACGAATCCATGCATATGTTATGTCGAAATCCGGCGCAGCGTCCGAATCAGAGTCCAGTTCAGTTCAGACGTCCGAATCTGTCCTTTGGATCGAATCCGATGCAAGCTGATGATGCAAATTGATGCAAAGATGGGCGTAGTACTGTATATTCTATAAAGATCTATTTCTATCTACATAGTTTTCCGCTGGGCAGGCGGGATACCCAGTCGAGATCTTCGTTTTGAAGGATTCGGGAAACGCGCACAGTTTAAAAAGCCTTGTACGAATCAATTTGGGTTTAAAATTTAACAAATATCTAAGATTTTGGCTAATTCTTGTATCTTTATTGTCAATTTTCTCGTCACTTACTTTTTGGGGATTTTTATTGTGCTCTTCTTTGAATGGATCATATCATCAATATTTTGGATCATATCATCAATTTCAATCAAGCTTTTCTTTTTGGTTTGGCTTTAAGGTCAGTTGTACAGATTTGTAAAACGTTTTACGTTTAAATTCCACGTTCTAACAAATTGTTTTTGATTCGTTATAACTTTTCATTAGACTTATAACAAAAACATTTGTCGATCCTTTTTTGCTGTTGGGAATTTTAGGTTTTTTATGTTTTTCTCAGCACTAACCCTTGCTTGGCGTTGGGCTAAAAATTTGGCTCTTTAGCCAATCCTAGTGTTCTTGTATGAAGACATGGAAATGTGAGACATAAATTTTTTTTCGAAAAAGCCTAAAAGCTCATAAGATCACAATTACAGATAAAGGTAAAAGCTCTAAACTTTCTCATTCTTTTAATCCCAATTCAAACTTTTGATATCAGCTTTAGAATGGACTTCTAACAAAAACATCTGTCGATCCTTTTTTGCCATTGGCAATCTAATGTTTTTCGTGTCTTCCTCAGCACCAACCCATCGATTTTATCTATTTTGATTATCATTTAATGCAGAATAGAATTGCGCATCGAATGATACCAAAACTAACTCAAAATATAATACCCATGCAAAGTTATGAGGCAAAAGGTTAAATCTTGCCCATAATGAGCGGGGTTTAGGTTTTTGGTAAACAACTTTGAGTGGATATTATATTTTGAGTTGATTTTGATAGCATTCGATGCGCAATTTTATTCTGCATCAAATGAGAGTCAAAATAGACAAAATCAAAGGATTGGTGCTGAGAAAAAGAAAAAAAACTTAAATTGCCAACGGCAAAAAAGGACCGACAGATGTTTTCGTTACAAGTCTTTTAGTGTAGTACTTTTCTAAATCCAAACAAAACAAACAAGTCTAGATCAAAACAAAGAATGATTTAATTACAGTACAATTAGTATTGTCTTTCTACGAAAGCCAAGAGAACGTCGATATTTGCAAATCACACTGCATTCAGATATCAATGAATTACATAATAAATAAAGAATTGAAATTCCCAATTCATATGATAAACTTGTACAAACACAAAATCGCATTCGTTGAAATCAAATCGAACTTGTGAATGCTTTTTGAAGCCCTCTTTCTATCGCCAAATGAAAACCAATTTCACAATGAAATAAGTAATAGAAGATTTCAAAAATATTGAAATATTTAATCAAAAGAAAACAATTAAATTGCCACATTTTACTTTCTATTTTTTAGTATTTAATTTTTTTCAAAGCACCCGTACTTTCAAAAAATGCGTCTTTGGTATCAAAAAATAGCTGAAATTCAGGGCTATTTTTTGATACCTAAGCGCGCATTGTAGCATAAAGCAGCATCGAGAAAAACTCGTTGAAAGCTAGACTACGCAACACTCCGCACCGTCATTATGGGGATGGGGTACTATTACAGTATTTACGGTATCTAGTATATAGCATATTTTAGTTCTTTTGTTGTTCACATTCAAAATAAAGAAGAAGAAAGCTGAATGATTGGTGTTCATGGAAAAGTGCGTTTGAAACGATTTGAAAAAGTCGCTTTTAAAGGGGTCAGGACATGCAATTTTGCTGTACACCTATCGATGAACAGACCGAAAATGTACATATCATAAATACCGTAATAAATACCGTAATACCACCCCCTTCGTACAATCGCGTAGTCGCAAAAGTTTTTTAGTATTTCATTTTTTGCAAAGCACCCGTACCTTCAAAAAATGCGTCTTTGGTATCAAAAAATACCCCTGAATTTCAGCTATTTTTTGATACCTAAGCGCGCATTTTAACATAAACCAGTGTCGAGAAACACTCGTTCAAACCTAGACTACGCAACGCTCCGCACCGTCATTATGGGGGTGGGGTACTATTACAATATTTACGGTAAGTAATAAAAGATTTCAAAAATATTGAAATATTTAATCAAAAGAAAACAATTGAATTCCCACATTTTACTTTCTATTCTCTTTCATTTTTGATCATCATAAAAGCTTTTTCTTAAAGCTTTTCACAGTCCATTCATTTGTGCTTCAATTTAAAAGAATATTACTGAGTACATTCATCTTTTTTTTTTCAAAGATTGACTTTTAATTTCAGTTTCCTTTTGCGTGTTTTGATAATTTGATTTCCCCGGGGCAATTCTTCAATATTGAAACGTTTCTCCACTCACTCAAATGCCTCATTTCACGTTTATTCATGAATCTATTCCCATTCAAAAACTCAAGATTCTTTATAAAATATCGTGATGGATTTGTGGCTTTGGGAATAAGCATTATTTTAATTGGTTTGAGTTGAGAGCAAGTAAAACTAGAAGTTTTTTAGCGATTTACCTGGTTTTCTCAACGCTTTTTTATGCGATTATCTTTTTAATACAAAAGGAGCGACCATCTCTGACAGATAGCTCAGCAAAGATTATTGTTGATGTAATCGAGAAAGCGACTGTGGTGGTAATGATGGAAATCGTTCCGTGTAGGCAATCAGTGCTGTTTCGATGGTTCAGTGTCGAAAAATCCAGTACAGACTAGCCACGTAAACTACAAACGCTCATCCTGCCAATCCGGTGGATTTAAATTGCTTCAAATCTACCGGATTGACATGCTCTATAGCTCAAAAAATAGAAAATCTCAAGAGCTTTCGAATGGACTAAAGCAGACCCAAAGATTTCAATGTTAAAGAAAATTACAGTGGTTTGTAGATGGCTTTGACTACGCGCGAGTACAGTCCGTTTCGAGGCAGTTTACAAACCACTGTAATTTTCTTTAACATTGTTATTTTTGGGTCTGCTTTAGTCAATTCGAAAGCTCTTGAGATTTTCTATTTTTTGAGCTATAGATCATGTCAATCCGGTAGATTTGAAGCAAGTTCGAAGCATTTGTAGTGTGATAGATCGCTATTTTTGTAGTTTATAGTGCTTTATAGTGCTATAGTGCATATCTAGTACAGACTTAACTGGACTCTGCCTTCAAGTTTGAGATTTATGGCTAAAGACAGTTCAAGGAGGCCAGGGGAAGCTGGGCCAAACTAAACTATGCTCATAGAATTATTTTTGGAAAGTCCCCGGTTATCATAAGCCAAATAAGGCTAATTTGCTGGGCCAGTCATAATCAGTAATTGCACAAAACTGGGACTGTGTTTAAAATTTGACTTTGAAACAACTCTTGGCGTTGCAATTAGCCTTTCTGATCAGCAGATATGTTAGCTCCGCCCCTTTTTTGGTCTGTTTCCCTTTGGCAATTTTGGTCATAGCTTAGTCGGGTTTGTTTGAGAAACGTTGAATTTGCTTTCATTCGACTCGAAAACAAATTCTCTATCGAATGAAAGCAAATTCAACTTTTTTCAAACAAATCCGGCTAAGCTACGACCAAAATTCGTAAATCGCCAACGGCAAACGGACTGAAAAAAGGCGGAGCCATGGCTAAAAGCTTTCGACAGCTGACAGCTGGTTTGGCTCCTTTTGACAGCGGTTAGCATGGCTGATGGTCAGCTAACTATAAGCTAAACCGGTTCCACATGAGCAGAACTGTTAGCTGACAGCTGAATTTATTAAATCTTTTTTAGGTTTTTCTACTCACCCTAATAACAACACCATTGGCTATATACTGTGCTGCAAGAAACAATCGTTTGTCGGTACCAATTAGGTAAACTTTTTCTGAAGAAGTTTTTAAGTGTCTCAACGAGCAGTTGAATGGCTGATGGTCAGCTCAGCTTCAATTATTCGACAAAATTCCAGACTGCTAGCAAGTGCCGAAAATTTCAACAAATTCCTCTTTGCACTTTTCTTTGCCATTTACTATTTTTGTCAACTTCAAATCGAACCTTTACAGTTGAAGTTTCTCTAGTTTTTCTCAGAGTTATCATGGCTTTAGATGTTCTACCGTTTTCAACTCAACTACTACGTTTATTTATGATTTAACGTGCGATTATAGTCTTACTGATATTGCTCAATATTTTCAATTTTTGATTTCATTCAGGTAACAGTTTCAGGAAATTTAATTCAAATTTAATTCGTCTTTCAATTCAGTCGTTTCCTTGTCGTTTCATTTAATGGTCTCTATTTTCGTTATACGATTCGTTGGCCATTACTTCAATTAATCATTCCATATGTTCTTCGAATTTCAATCGAAATCCTGCTTAATCAAATAATAGATCAAGAGAAATATTTCTTTGCCTATTTGATTGTTGATCGTAATTTAACTATTTGGCCGTACTTTGTAACGTGTGGACTGGATTATGTAACGAATCGAAAGATGAAACAAGTATTTCTTTGCTTTGTAAAGGATTTTAAATGATTTTAGCTGAAAAGATGCGGAAAGGCGTCACGCACAGAGACACTGCTGATGGTACAGGTAAGAAAGTTAGACCTCGTAAACTTAGCAGTCTGAGATTTTTTGCTGACAATTTTCTGCCATTTTTTAAGCTTCAGCATTCTTGGAGTTTTGTGATCTTTTTTTCACTTAATTCATTCTCATTCTCATAGCAACAGTTTCATAGTAAAGAATGCGCCAAAAAAAGAAAGTATTTGCCTTTTTTGAGAATATCCACAAAAGTCTGATTGTTCGAAGGAATATATTGATTCTTTCTAACGTATTTTCTATTCCCAAAATTTATTCCAAGTAATTAACCCATAAGGAATCGTTTTTGTGATGCAAAAAGTGAGCTGAAGCTGGAAAATAGTCCCTTTTCGAAAAAACTTTAAGCTGGAAAATAAAACTTTCTCTAATAAAATCTCTAAATTTTAAAGAAAAAGCTGTACTCATTTTTTACAAGTAATTTCTTGGAGTCGGCTTGTAAATAATAGAATAAAGTGTTCTTGAATTGGTGGATTTGTTTTTAAGAAATTCTGGCTCAAATTGTGCAAAAATTTTCTTGTCAACCTAATACAAGAAAAATGAAGAACCGAATGCACCAGAAGTAGAGTGTGTTCGTCGCGAGTAAGTAATTACTCGAGTAAATTTGCATGAGTAATTTGTTTACTCGAGTAATTGGCGAGTAATGCGTTTTCTAAAAAGTGCGCCTGCGCGAAAAAAAATATAAAAGCAATTTGTTTTCGCAGGTTTTTCAAAAAAGAACATTTTTTACATTGGAAGGGAATTTCCCACCAAATCAGTTAAACGGCTGAGTATCTTTAAAAAGTGTCGTATATAATGCCGGGCTCGTCATTTTTTTTGCAATAATTTTTTTCCCAAGTGTGCGTTTTAAAAAACGCATTACTCGCAAGGAAAACCCTCTACTGGATACTGACTCGTTTAACACATTCATGACAAGTTTTTTTTTTTGATTTTTGCGTAAGTTATTTCCCTTCCAGCTCATCTAAAAAAGTTCAAAGGCAGATTTACTTAAATTACGGATGAAAATGAAGAAAAATCCTTGAAGATCATTTATCTGAAGACAGTTTGAAAAAATATTGACTTTAAAGAAAGTTATGAGCCTTTGAAAGCCAAATAATCCCGGAGCTTGCTTCTCCGGAAATTTCTCATTCTAAAACATTCTAAACTTTCTTCAAACTCAATATTTCTTTAATCTGTTTTCTGATAAATGATCCTCAAAGATTTCTCTTCATTTTCACGCGTAATTTAAATAAATCGGTTGCCTGTGAACGTTTTTAGACGATCTGAAAGGGAAATATTAGGTTGATGCATAAGTCTTTTCGTTTTTTTCGTACTTCTGTTAAAAAGTAACAAATTCACCAATTAACCTATGCTTTTCTCTAAATAAAAAGTGTTTTTTTGTTCAATTTGCATCTTTTTAAATGAATTTCGGTTCACTTTCAAGCAAATTCGAGAGTGAAAAACGCCTTTTTCGTAAAAATCTATAAAAAACTCTACGGAAAAATTGGCTGAATGAATTTCTCTGAAATTTTGGCGAAATATCAAACGTTTTTTTTCTCTATCTTTTATCTATTGACACGAAGATAGGTTTTCTTAGCTAAGGTGTCTAAACCGCATCATCGAGTTAGCCCTTTTTGACTACCCGACTTCATACTCTCAAGAAAATCCAGGCATTAAATATTTTTAAACCCGTTTTAATGTTATTTTGCAGAAAAATAATTGGTTTTTCTAATGAAATCAACCGTAGTTCAATTGGTGCATTTGTTACTTTTTAACAGAAGTACGAAAAAAACGAAAAGACTTATGCATCAACCTAATAGCTTCAAAAATCATGAAACCTCGTCGTGAATGTGTTAAATTATCTTTTTTGTGTCTTATTGTTAGTCATTCTAGCGCAGAACGAAGAAATATGACTTCAAGGCACTAAAATTACAAAAAAATTTCCTCATGATTTTTGCGTCATTTTTTGCAATAATTTCTGCTAAAAGTACGGTAATTTTTTCCCAAGTGTGCAATTTAAAAAACGCATTACTCGCGAGAAACACACTCTAATCAGATGAGCTTTATAAAAGCAAAAATATCTTGCTACACAAAGACAAAGACAAAAACAATTCACTAAACATTTTATAACTTTAATATAGATGCTTTCCAACTCATTCATGATTTTGATCAATTTTCTTGTCGCTTACTTTTTGGGGATTTTTATTGTAACCTTTCTTGGCTGGGCGATGCTCGATATTTTGGATCGACTCATCAATTTTAATCAGGCACTCCTTTTCGGTTTAGCTTCGAGGTAACGTTTTTAAACTTTTGCTTTATCAAATTCTTTTTAAATTCAAATAAACTTTTCACAGTACGATGAGCATTCTTTTCCTACGAAAGCCGAGAGAACGTGCGAGGACCAAATCGACGATTGTAAATCAAACCGCATCCAGATATCGTCATTAAAATTCTATTGGAACTTTAAAGTACTTTATTTTTAAGATAAAGTCGATTTTTATAGACTAATCAAAACATTGAGAGATCGCCTAATTACCCACTCATTTCCAACACCAAAATATTCTTGTTGTTTAGGTGAATTTGCTGTTTAAGCTCAAGAAAATTCTTGTTTTTGAAAGATTCAATGCACAGGATTTCAGTTACTATGTTTTCTTTGAAGCTTAAACTATTTTTGACAGCTTTTTTTAATCTTGAAGAATATTGGCTTCTTGATAAGTTGAGTTCAATCTTTAGTTCTTCATTTTCTCAATTTCGATTAGTAGCTTTGAAAAAATCTTAAAAAATTTGATTCAAGCGATACTAAAGTTTAAAAGAGCTACTGTAAGATTGTAATATTTCTATTTTTCTTACAATTAGTTTCTTGAGATTTCACTTTTTCAATTTTCAATTTGTGTTTAGTGTTTTTCTACAATTTTTGCATTGTCAAATTCCAATCAATCAAAAACACATTCCGTTTATTCATTCAGGAAATAAAATTTAACAAAAGAGTTTTATTTTGACCGCTTCTAAGTTCAATTTCACCTGTTCGCTTTGAGTTTTTCTCACTACAGCCACTCCGAATTTCGACTTCTTAAAAGAACCCGTACCGGTCAGAGAAAAGCTTTAAATCTTTACATAATTGCCTTTTTCCACCATATCAAATTCTCCTTGAACTACCGTATTTTCCCTAATAATAGTGCACCGTAAGCTTTGCCTAAATTGCTCGAAATCTCGAAAAGCGCTTATCAGAATCTATCGATGTGGGGTCGAAAAATGTAGCTGACGATGAGATCTTATGGGGGATTAGTGAGAGGTCCAAGCAGTATTAATCAGGAAGCCAGTCACGATTGTTCAAGCTGAGTCTGGCCTATATAGGAAGCCCTGAGTGTCCGTTAGTCAGAGCTGACTCTAGATCTGGCTAGCTGACTGTAGCCTGTCTTTCTGCCTGCTTGGAACATAACTACCGGATTCTCTCCTAAATGGCTCGAAATCTCGTGAACCTCTTATCAGAACCTATCGATGTGGGGTCGGAAAATGTAGCTGACGATGAGATCTAGTGGGGGATTTAAGTGTTGAGCTTCTGCAAAAGCTTGGAAACCGTAAAATAGTCATCAACTCGTCTCGGCGGGTGCACTACTACCAGGGAAATCACGATATTCAAATCAATTTAATTCAATTCAAGCCAGCTTAATGGAAAATCATCCGGAACCGATAACCTACATCTATACAGCAAACTTTCTCGGCGTTTTTGGCACCCTTTTAAACATGTACACATTGTTCTTGATTCTTTACGCTACACCAAAATATATGAGGAATTATAAATACTGTCTGCTATTTTATCAGGTATCAAAACCCTCTTTAAAATCACGTTTAAACATGAAATTCTTTAAGCTGAGCTCCTGGAGCTTTGACACATTCATCCATTCGCTTGATGTCGAGATCTATCTACCTGCAATTGCCTGTCGACTTTATGGCATCATCACATTCATACCTGGCATTAACATGCACCATGTTTTGGTTGGAAAGTGAAATTTTTCTTTGTTTAATTTCCTTTCTCAGTCGATCGGTTTTATTCTCGTTTCGACTAACATATTTTTCACCGCTCAATGCTTTTTCTATCGTCATCGGCAAACTGTTCCCGATGAGCATTGGATGAAGTGAGTTTTGGATAAAAAAATTGACATTTCAGATGAGATTACGGTGTCTTCTAAAGTATTCTAAAGTCTTCTAAAGTCTTCTAAAAGTCCTCTAAATTCTTCTAAAGACTTCTAAACTCTTCTAAAGTCTTCTAAAGTCTTCTAAAATCTTCTAAAGTCTTCTAAAGTTTTCTAAAGTCATCTAAAAGTCCTCTAAAAGTCTTCTAAAGTCTTCTAAACTCTTCTAAAGTATTCTAAAGTCTTCTAAAAGTCTTCTAAAGTCTTCTAAAGGTAAGCTGACGAATGTGTTGCTAAACAATCAGCTAGATTAACAATTAGCCTCAAATATTTGTTAATTCATTACAAAACAAAAATACTTAAGAGACGGATACTTAAGAGACGGCTGGTGTACAATTGCTCGACAGTAATTTTTCTCGTATAAGACAAAACCAGAAAAACAGTTACAGGCAAGCTACAGGCAAGCTACAGGCCTGGTCATAAAGAAAGAGCTAGACTAGACTAGACATTAGCTAGACTAACCAGACATGGACCCAACCTTGCTTCTGGACTGGCTTGGCTTGTTTGTCCGGTTGGAACATTCCTGATTAGAAGACTAAAGCAATCTCTTAAAATTTCAGCATCTCAATGACTCTTTGGTGTATTCTAGCGTCGATCAACTTTGGTCTTTTCCTCGGTGCAGGCCTTTTCGCTGTCACTTTCTTACCCTTTGATCATCCGCCAAATGCCAGTGGATTAAGAAAAATTTTGAGTGTAAGCAAGATTTGGCAATGACCATGTAGGATTTTGTTTTTTCAGAAATACCCGATCTATTCATTTTTACAAACTGATCCAGCATTTTGGATTGCTGATGAAACGGCGTTATTACCAATTGATTTACCAATTGATTTTTTCGAGATCACAAGTTTGAAAGGGATTCTATTAGTTGTCGGAATAGCTCTGCTCGAGTTTTTGCCTATGGTAGACTAGAATATTTTAAAAGTTTTGTGCAAATTGCAAGTTCAGCTTGCTTTCTCAATCGGTCATTCACTTTACATGCTGAGTTTGAACTCGAGTTTCATGAGTGATGCGAGGAGGAAATTGCAGCGAAGTCTGTTGATTGCTTTGATTTGGCAGGTAGGAATTTGTAAGCAGGAAAGTTGCGGAAAAACTGAACTAACTATGGTATAACAATTCAAATTTGCATTTAATTACCGATTTGCGAAAGAAAAGCTACAAATCTTGATCTTTTCCAGGCTTTGGCCCCGATTCTCACAATGGCTGTTCCAATCGCTTTCATTGCTTCGATTCCACTTTTTGCATTCGTTTTGCCACAAGGTAACAAATAAGCTTTTGAATTTTCAGGCTTTAATGCAAATCAAAGATTAAACTGAAGTGAACGGGAATAAGTGTCGATTACGTTTAACGCTTAATTGAGGCCTTGGCCGTTAGACTATCGACTTTGAAATTACCACTCTTGAAAGTACATTGTGTTAGACTGAATTCTGAAAATTATTGTTTTTGCAGTGACTAACAAATACAAAACATTGTTTTCACAGTTGCCGATCATACAGCAAACCCAATTGAGATTGAAACTGATTGTGAAAAAGTTAGAAGAAACAGTTTCTATTGACAATAAAGGGTTATCAAAAAGTTCCCGCACTCGTTACAAAAGAAGCTCGATTTTTCAGCTAAAACCCAGATTGAAGTTCAACTTACTATAGAATATTTTGAAGCTGAAATTCTGGGGAGCATTTCTACATTTAAACTACACTGATCAGAGCCACCTAGCTCTCCAAAGAAGCATTGTAGTGCGCTGGAGGCAAACTGCCATAGCGCTCACCTATTTGAACCCATTTTCAATTGAAAAACCCTTCAAAAAGCCTATTTAAAGTTAAACTTTTGTTTTAAATAATAAATAACAATTCAATTGTTATTTGAAAAGAATCTCTCGTTAAAATAAAATAAAATCTTCTTCAAAAACATGCGAAACTGCGTTTGTCTCATAGGCGATTTGCCTCGAATGCAGCCTTCTTGAAAAGGCTTTCTTGAAAAGGCTTTCTTGAAAAGGCTTCCTTGAAAAGGCCTTTTTGAAAAGGCTTTCTTGAAAAGGCCTTCTTGAAAAGGCTAGAAATTTCTGATTGAAATGATTTACTTATAGAAATGTTCATCAGAATTTTAGCTTCAAAAAACTCTAAAACAGAGAAACTTTGTCTTAGCATTCATTTAGAAAATGAATCATTTACAAGTGTGCAGAAACCTTTTGATCATCCTCTACATGACTTTTAAGGTACACTACTGGACAATGAAATATCATATTTGAAAAAAGATCGTCACTTTCGAGCGTCTGTAACTGCCTTGTCTTTACCGTTTTTCTAAATATTGATATTACCATTGTGTAGCCCTTGAAAAGAGTTTTCAGAAAATGTATAACACTAATAGTTTAAACTGAAAGACAAGGGAGTTACAGACGCGCGAAAGTGACGATCGTTTTTCAAATATTATATTTCATTGTCCAGTAGTGTATATATGGGTTTTCCCCTACATTTAAGCCTTGCGGCTTGGCTGCTTGTGTATTGTTTGTACCACATTATTCGTTTGAATGTATTTTTTAAAAATATTGAAGTGATACAGAATTCCGAGAATTTACAGTACCTTCAGGTTTGAAGATTTCCAGTATCCCCGCATTTTACTTGTTAAATGCAGCACTTTCTAGTTTCGCAATCATATCGTATTCATACTTTCCCTCTTTCTTTCCCTCTTTCTTTCCCATTTAGCACCTTTATGAAAATCTCCATGAATCTCGCCCATTGTCTCGCTGTGATGTGCTCGTTTTTGTGCGTTCTGCCGATTTCATTCAAACGGAAAATCATATCTCGTTCCGCGTTTGGAGCACCTGAAGTATTTCAAGATAAAGAAAACTAGATTATAAAAAGCGAAAGTGACGATCGTTTTTCAAATATGATATTTCATTGTCCAGTACTGTATTTGTTGGGTTATTGAACCGTCTTTGATCTCAATCTTAATCTGATAGTGTGCTAAGGGGATTCAACCAAATCAGAAGGCTAAACCGAGTTAATCATCAAATCAGTTAATCAAACCAGTTTTTCAAATTCAAGACAAATGTGCAAAGTAATTTCTCAAACGATTCAAACCGTTTTTTGTCGTTTTTCGCCTTTGAATTTGAGTTTAAAACACTGATCTATTGACGATGTTTTAAATTCGTTCAAACTTTTCAGAAGCGATCAACATCTCGTGCATTATTGTCACTTTACACGGAAAAGTGTCAGCAATTCTCATCTGTCTCCTAACAAAACCATACAGAAGATTCACAAAACGATTGATTAGAAGAATATTGCGGTGAGAGATCTTTAAAAGTTACATTTTCTTACATTTTCATTTCAGAATTGCCATCACCGACCTAAAAAAGCCACTACAATTGAAAGTTTTTGCTCAAGAGATTCAACAAGATATTTTGAGGAGTAGACAAGTTTGGGACAAGTCCAATCCATCAAAACCTGTCTCTATTAAATAGATCTTTATGGCAATTCTTGCAAAGTTTACAAGTCCTTTCGGTTCTTATAGTCTTTTCTTTGAGTTTTTGTTTATCTTATATATAAAATTGGGAGTTTTTCAAAATCAATTTATGATCAAGAGAAAGGATCCTGCAGAAGTCAATTTCAGTCGAATTTCCCGATTCGATTTTTCGCCAAAGGACAAAAAAGCGACCCTTCAGAAGGCGAGCTTTGAAGCCCAAGTCTTCATAAATTATCAGCTTTTGTGAATATAGGATCTGTTCCTATTTCTGTTAATCAAATTTATTTTAAAATTTCAACTTGCATAGTTCAAACTCAGAAATATCCCGAAAGACTTCAAAAATCTCGTAAATTTTACAAGAACCTCAAGAACTATGCCTTTCATCTTTTTATCTTTCATCTTTTTCATCTTTCATCTTTTTAAAACTCTTAATATGTTAAAATCTCCAGCTATGAGAAATTCCAGCTATCCGTCTCTACAAAAACACACGATTCAGAGTTCTACTTTTATGTTTCTCTTCGCTTTGTAACTTTAGTTGAAACTACTTTATCCATATTCTCTCTTTATATTCTTCCAATCAAAAGCACACACTAAACTTTCTAATCATCTAATACAGACATTTATCCAATATTTTGGACCTAGACTAAGGAAGGCGGTCCTTCGGACTGCTCGATCTCTCAACTTGAAACTCCATTGATTCGGAGTACTACCCCTTCCCCTAGCATGTTCCCCCGACCCATTTCTATCGGCGTATTTCTTCAATCTATTTGACTCACTAAAGATTGTCATTACTCATGTAGATAAACAAGGAACTTAATCTGCAAGACAGGTCGGTCGTTTGTTCCTGAGGCTCCCCTCTTGGAGGCTTGAGGCCGATTGTCGGCAGGAAAAGTCCACATACGTCTTTCAAATACACGTAAACAAACACACACATCATTTAATAAATCACATTAATTCTACCGCTATACACCTGGAAACTTATGCAGCAATCAATTTTCAAATACAGAATTCAATTAATCGAGCGTCGAAATTTTGTGATCAGTCGTGATTCTTACATTCGGCATCACTTTATTTCTTTTCCGCTTTCGAAGACAAATCATTGTGGTTATGCTGAAAATTGATGGTTGACTATGGCCTGAGTATTCTAGCGAATCTTTTAGCGTTTTCGATGCGATCGATTTTAGCGAATAGCGTTTTCGATGAATTTTCTAGCATTTTTCGTTATTTCCAATGTTTTCTACCATAATCCATTTTCTATTTAGCACTAAAACAAATCTTTTTTTTCATCTTCCTCACCCGGATACGAAAAATAGTACAATCCACACGTTCAGACTCGTAATATTGTGAGCAAGATAGACCATATTTGGCCCAAAGAAAATGTTATCAATGGCATTCAAAAGATTGTAGAGAATTGTGCTGGAGACAATGCAGAATGAGTTTGTTAACATCTTAAATTCGATTTTTTTTTTCTTTTTAAGCTAAACAGTAAAAGATTTAATCCTTTTTTTGATAAGTAAAGTAAGTACTGATAAGTACATTTGCTAAGTACATTTGATAAGTACCGAAATTCCTCACCTGTACCATCAATAAAGACTCGGCTCGTGTCACTCGACCACTTCTTTTCAACTAAAATTTAAACTTAGAGTTTCATTCTCGAATTCAAACCTCTTTCAGTCGCCGATTCGTCACAAAATCCATCGCGCACATGAGAAAAAATGGAAAATATAGAAAATCACCTAATAACGTTTGGAAAAATCCACTAGTTGAAATGAGAAGAATTTGTCGAAAAAGTATTGTGAAAAGAAAAGGGAATGCTAATTGAGCGAAAGGCCATTTCATAGTGTATCGGAAATAGCGACCTTCAAAGATCATTGCAAAGAAACGACTGAAAATGAATGGGATTCTACTTTTCAACCAATTCTCTAATAACTCACTTGATTGAAATAAAAACTTGACAGAATTGAGCAACTTGTGATGGAGAGTAGTTGGCTAGTGTCGTCAGGAAATTCCCAGAAGTTATTATGAGACTGATTGAACATCTGAAACAGTATTTATCAACAAGGGTTGGCACAAAATGAAATTTCTGGGCTAGCTTGGGTCTGGCTTGGGTCTGTCGATAGCTTAATCAGGTTGTCAAGTTCTTTTTTTCTAATTTTTTGCTTTTGCTCTAATCAAGTAAGCCAGCATCAAGCCAGAAGCATCCAGAAGATCAAGAAGATCAAGAAGATCAAGAAGATCAAGAATATCAAGAATATCAAGAAGATCAAGAAGATCAAGAATATCAAGAATATCAAGAAGATCAAGAATATCAAGAAGATCAAGAAGAATCAAGATCAAGAAGATCAAGAAGATCAAGAATATCAAGAAGATCAAGAAGATCAAGAAGATCAAGAAGAATCAAGAAGAATCAAGATCCAGAAGCACTTTCCAGTGCACTATTAAAAGTAATCTGAAGGCCTTGGAGATAAGTTTTTTAAGCTTGATTCTTGTCTGGCTTATTGGGGTTTTTAGAGTACGTTTGATGTTAAGAAAAGCATCTTTAACTTGCTTATTTGTTAGTCTGTTTCAAAAACTACTCTATAAACGGAAGTTGACAAAACGAGTAGAGCACAAAAGGAGCCGCGTAGATGACTTTACAGCAACTTTCTGTGGTTGTAAAAAGTCTGGAAAATAGTTTACATTTACAATTTAGAATTTTATCGTTTGAAACAAACCGAATCGGCAGCGATAAACGATCGTTCGTCGCCGAGAAATAGGCAGCCAGCAGATTGATTGGGAGACTGAAAAGTAGGACCTGAAAGGATAAACATAATAATTAGATTTTTACGCAACCCAGAACATAATGTTGAAGTAGATATTCCTGGCCGCATCTACAACGGGCATGCTGATATCTGGCTTCGGTTTTGATAAAGAGATATCCAAAATAGCCAAAGTAGATAAAAGATGATACAGGACTGAAAGATTACCTCAATCTGGTTCTGGTTTAAAAGCTTCTGGTTTAGAAAATGAGTTTTTAGATTGATTTCTAGAGATTTCAAAAGCTTTTGAAAGTTTTCTTTAACCTCTCGGTTATAATTCATGATGTTAGATGTTATCTGGGGAACGATGAAAGTTGCGCCACGAATCTGCGCTGCCAGAAATTTGCGCTGCCGAAAGTTGCGCCACGGAAAGTTTGCGCTGTTAAACAAAGCAAAACTTGCGTCGCGAAAGTTGCGCTACGTTCGTAAAGCGAAATTTGTGTCATTTTGTTTCAAAATTTATGATTTTTATATCTCGCATCACTTCTTTTTCATATTCGCTTCTTCTTTAACTTATTTCATACATGCTAAGTATGACTTTTTAGATAAGAAGAAGTGCAGCAGTCCACACTAACGCTCTAGCACATATTGAGGTGTGTTTTTTTCTTCTGGATTTGTAGAATGTAGAAAAGAAAGAAAAAGTAAAGTAAAAAGTATCCTTTTTTTAAAGCTTAAGTGCAAAACAATTAAGAACACTTTGTAATGATGGCGCAAGTTTCGCCAACGCAAAATTCTTCGCGCAAGCTTCGCTTTAACATTTTTGGTGCAAAATTCGCCTTTTGGTCTGTAGCGCATAGTTCATAGTGCAAATTTGCACAAAATTCGTGGCGCTAGCTTCGTTTTGAAAGCGTGGCACAAGCTTCGCGTGATGCAATCTTCGCTTTTTGTTTTATGGCACAAAATTTGAGGAGCAAGACGCCTTTAACATAGGCCTTTAACAAGCTTCATAGTCCCGTTATCAGGGTTGCTCTAAATGCAATTTTACCAGGGTCGGTCCGGCAATGACAGAGTCAAGCAAGAAGCCTGGATTCTCTCTGTTTGGCTGGCTTTACTGCAGTTTAGCCTCCATGATTCCTGAAAGGTCAGGCTTGTAGCTGGCTTCTGGTCAGGCACTTCATGGATTGACTTGTTCTTGCCAGGCCCCTGTCTGCCCTGGTTTTACTGCAGGCCTAGTACAAGTCCCTGCGTCGCTAGATGCTAAGTCTGAACCTAGCTTCTCTAGTCTGGATTGGCTTGACTTACAGCCCCTAGGGCTCGGTTTAAACAATTCTAAATGTTATTCAAAAACCACAAGAGAATCTGGAATTGTAAATCTTTGTTAAGCCTTACCTAACAAAAAAGCAGTAATACCCAAAACTTGAATAACTTCATTAGATCGCCAAAATCGACTGATCGACATTGTGCTGAAACAAGTTTTATAAAGATTTGTAAAGATTTTTGACTAAATTTACAGTAAAAAAATCAATTTGAAAATTTGTAGACTCAGCAAACTATTTTCTGTAACTAAAAACTAAAAAACTGCTGAGAAACCTGCGTCTATCAATTCAATTCCCGTGATTAATTAGAAAACAGAGTCATTGGTCCTTTGGGATGATTGTTTCCGAGAAATATTTTGTGCTTTTTTCTTTTCGCACTGAAAATCTATTATGTAAGCGTCTGTAGGAAAATAATGAAGTACATTGAGTTTTTGGGGTAGAAAAGAACTCAATCTAGACATTATAGCGATCACCTGTGCAAAAAAACCAAATGAATATACAGTATCTTGAAATAACACTAGCTAATGTTAGCTACAGTAATCAAAATCTGAGCATTCATTCAGGATTTGAGTCTGGTTCAGTGAAATGAATGAAATGAACAATAAAAACTTTACCTCTGATATTACCGTAACCTACAGTAATCTGAATTGTTTATATGAAAAAGATTTCGACTTTCGATTATCAACTATTGTAGAATACAATTTATGATTGATTTTTATATTAATAAGTTGAAATTTCAGTCTTTATAATCTTAGATCTTGAAAACAATTCATCGAAACTTTAGCAGACTAAATAAGCTACAGTAATCTGAATTATTGTCTGGGTTACGATAATAAAACTATAAAAATAAGCCTGAGTTACTTTTTGTTGCTGGTTTTTTAAGCCAAAAAAGTTTCCCTCGTAAATCCAGAACCCAAAAACGGCAAGACAAAGAAGAAAATTAGCATAAATATCTCCGATCTGATCTTATTCGCTTTCTTGTCGTTTATTGCCAAATCGCCGATGAAAATCGCTTCAAAGGGAAAAAAGAATTGCTCAAGAATCCAGTTCGTTTATTTTTTTCGTGACATTTTCTCCAAACTATTGAAATTATGAATTGTCAAAACTGCTACAATGACTTTTATCTGTAATTTCCAGTAATTTATTCCAGTAAAATCATAAATGCAAAGACCGAATGCATTTTTGAATTTTCTCTGCACAGTATTCATATTGTACATAATCTTTAGATATTGGAGTCAAAGCGGAGAATCGGTGAGTGGAATTTGAATCCAAAAATGCATAGCTCAAGTAGACTAAGACGAAATCTAGACTTTATTTTAAACTCTCAAAAACTCCCAAGATTTAATTTTAAGGAAATCGATGGTATTTCTATCGATTCGTCATCCTTGTTAGAGGCTTCGCTTTCAGTTCATCCAACCCACAATCAAAGCCACGTTTCTACTCATCCAGTTTGTATTATACTTTTGAAATCAATTCCCCGTCAGTAATACGTTTTCTAAAAGCTTAACAATTCAAAAAAAAACTGTCGTAATACTCCCTGCAGACTTTAAATTCTAATGTTTAGTTTTGGAGGCCATTCCCATTGACTCTTGTGCCAAAAGTCGTTTGTCCAGATTCAATCAAGGTATGATTTTAAATTAACGTAAAAAGATGACCTCATTGTTGATTGGCATCATTAAAAATAGAATTTTAGACAATTTTTGTCACTTATTCAGCAACTTCTAATTCAAAGAGAAGAGCCGCAATTCGTCGGACTTATGGAGACAAGAAATGGAAACAAAAAGTAGGCTTTATTTATTTAAAAACCTGAAACTACTTTTCTTATTCACTTTAGCTCAACTATCAAACAATGTTTGTTGTCGGAAAAAGTGAAAATGAAGAAGAGAATCGAGCCTTAGACAGCGAATCGATCGAGTTCGGTGATCTCTTGCAAGCCGATTTTCTCGATTCTTACCGAAATTTAACCATCAAGGCAAGCTTTTAACTTAAGAGAACGTAGAATTGGAATTAAAACTACTATGAGTTGAGTTTAACAATGAGTCAGCACAGAAAAATGCTTTTTCTATCAATTCACTGTACCATATGATTGTATGATTATTCAAAACCGAAAATCGAAACTCAAAATCGAAGTGAGACTACAAAAAATCGAAAAACCCCAGCCTTAGTTTTAACAAATTCATTAAGTTTAACCATTAAGACACCTCTTCGACAGCACCATCCTCCCGGCACTCTGCTACGGGACAGAGGCCTGGGCCACGACACAGACCACTGAACGTTTCCTTTGAACCACTAGAAGAAGTCACCTCCTACACCTACCTCGGAAGAAGCATCAAAATAGAGGGAGACCTAAGACCTGAAGTCGCCAGAAGAAGACGAGCGGCCTGGACAGCACTAGGAAGCATCAAAGAAGTCACAAAGATACTCAAGAATCACCAGAGAACTCGGGCACACCTCTTCGACAGCACCGTCCTCCCGGCACTCTGCTACGGGACAGAGACCTGGGCCACGACACAGACCACCGAACGGGCCCTGAGAACGACGAATCGAGCCCTTGAAAGGAACCTCCTCGGGCACAATAGGAAGACGCAGCTCGCCCAAGACCTAAGAACTACGGATATGCGCCAGCTCTCGGGACTCAGAGATCCAGTGGAAGTGATTGAGAGAAAAAGACTCAGATGGGCCGGCCACGTAGCCGATTCCGATAGCCAGAAGAACAGACGACAGATGGACGATACGGATCACATAGTGGCTACCACGAGACCAGAAGAGGCCCATCGGAAGACCAGCAACGAGGCGGAGCACAAGAGTGGCAGCAACGGTCAGAGAAAGGATGGCTAGAGTGCAACTACCACCAGCACAAACAAGTCGAAGACTTCGAACCAGGAACAACCAAGATAGGAAACACTGAATGACAATAGCAAGGGATAGAGAAATGTGGAAGCAGGTTGTGATCTGCGCTAATAGGAACACCTGAGTGCGAAGACAGATCAAAAAAGAAAACATTAAGACATTAAAATAACCGATAGCCTAGCAAGAGCTTAAATTTCATCTCCTTTGAATCATGAATAATTTGAATTGAATGAGAAATGAATAGTTTTAAAGGGAGTGACGTGGATGCGTTTTCTTCGTGACAATTGCCCTCATACGACAATGGTTCTATTGCTAAATGGTAGGGTTTTACTGAAAGAAAGCATTCTGTTTTATTGCTAAAGGCTATTGTTAAAGAATTAAAAAATTTTTATCGTTTTACAGATGACATTTTGCCAAACATTTTTTGGATCTTCACCGACTTGGCGAAAGGACGAATTTCGACGAATCGCACTTTTACATGTGTCTCAACAATTGGGAAACCGAATCGCAATGAGAAATCACCATAGTAAAAACTTCTAACAAATCTAGCCAACCAAATGTAAAATCTGCTTATTTTGGTTACATCTCGAGAGAAGCTCATCCAGCTGACCACTGGGCGCCATTTTGCAGTGGAAGTGCTTATTTTATGGTCAGTTTTGTGGCAGATTACTGTACAGGGTGCGGCATAAGTATGGCTAGAAGGTTGTAACATTGATTTAAGAAACTGATTGATTTTTATTTCTTGCCAAAGGATTATTTTTTCTTAATTTGAATGCTTTTTTTATATTATGTAGCAGTTTTTAAGCAAATTTTTAAGTTTGGACATAATGGTGAAGGCTTCTCCCAACCGTGCCGCAAGTTTTCAACTCACAAAATGATCGAATTTTGGCTCACAGCCCTCAAGAAGCAAATAAAAGTGGCCGATTTGTGGACAAGAACTCACATCCAGCAGGAGTCATGGTTTTTGCAGGCAACTGGTCGCACACCGTTGATTTTCGTTGATAAAGGGCTGAAAATTAACACAGACGTGTATCTGGACGTTCTCACAAAACATGTACAGCCGTGGAGTCAAGGACATTATCAAAATCAGCGCTGGGCGTTGATGCAAGTCGGTGCCCCAGCACACAAAGCAAAAAAGACTCAAGGTTGGTGTCGAAACAATTTGCCCGACTTCATTCCCGCCAATGAATGGCCAGCTAATTCGCCCGACCTCAATGCTATGGATTTCTGTGTTTGGGCAATTTTGAAGCAAAAAGCATGCACAACAAAACCTGCAAATGTTGAAAGTCTGAAAAAGGCTCTGAAGAAAGCCTGGGCGGAAATTCCACAAAGTACCCTGCGGGCCGCCGTGGAAAGTTATCCAAAGCGTTTTAAAGCCGTTATCAAGAATAAAGGTGCCCATATTGAATAATTTGTTATTTTTTAAATGAATATGATTACTGTTGTTAATTTTAAATAATGAATCCGTTCATATTTCATTACGATACATGGTTCTGAGTCTGTAACCATACTTATGCCGCACCCTGTAATATCATCATTTTTGAGTGAAACATTAAATGTCACTCGCTCAGACCAAACCTTTTAGTCAGCCGATTTGCTAGCCGATACGGTGAACCGTCTGGAAATGAGGGAACATTACGCTTTTGTAAGAAATTCCCCAAAGTATAATAGATATTTCTTGGTTTTTCTGTAAATTACAGCCAGACGACGTTTTTATCACGGGAGAGATCGCCAAGACAATTGGAGCCCACCACAATTTTCAGCTCTACGATCAGAAGTGAGTGATGAACTTGTGAGAAACTCGTTCGCTCTTAATTCTGCTGGCAAATTATTAGGTTAGCCTGAAGATTGATAAGTCTTTGGAGAGTCTTTTTGTAAATCTGTTTAGAAATGAAAAGTTCACCAATTGATCTACGGTTTTGCTTCAAATAGGAATCTTCAAATCAAATAGTTTCTTTTTCACTTTTCTATCTTTTTACGCCAATCTGGACCCGTTTCCAAAAAAAGCCGAGCGCAAAAGCTCGAATCGCTCTGCAAATTAGATTAGATTAGATGCAAATTAGACCATTAGATTCTCCATGGAATTCTGACTTGTTAATGTGTTATTTGGATGGGGCAAAAGCCATAGCCGTAAGCCAAAAGCCGTAAAATTCGATAAAAGGATGATATGAAGGAATTGGCTGAACAAATTGCTCTAAAAATTTGGTTATAAACCTAGATTTTTGCGCTCTTTCTTTTTCTATTGACACTAAACCGGTTTCTTTGGGTCAAAGTGTTTAAATCGTGTAATCGCATCCGAGCGGTCACCTTTTTGACTAGCCGAGTTCGCACCTTCAAACAAAAAACCAGAAACAAAAGATTTCTTAGGATTTTAGCTATCTTTTATAGAAAGATATTAGGCCTTTCGAATGGAGCAAATCGTAGGTCAATAGGTGAATTGATTATTTCTAAATAACTTTTAAATGAAGTGTTCAAGGATTTATTGACGAGCTTAATAGACACTCTTTTAGATACGTTAATGAGGAATTTGAAACAATGTCTTTCCAATTAACAAGTGCTAAAAGCGCATGATAAAGCTGCATTCTCTTCGAAAGATAAATTTAGTTGTGGCTGGAATACTGGACGGCAGAAAAATAACGAACGTGATCTTGAAAGGCGAATGATTGCTGGTGAACTAATTTTTGGTTAGTTGCATTGGGCAAACTTGAAACAGCGCAAAAACTTTCAACTTATCAGCTGTAAATTGAGAAAACCACTGAATTGATTACAAATATTTCTCATCATTCAACTTCTATTAGGGTGGTGCAAAAGAAACTGCCGATTTGACGGTAAATGAAAAAAAAAAGATGGCATTCGATGGTGACATGATCACAATGGAATATTTTCGCAAGATCTCGAGCAGATGGATCGGCCTGAATAACGTCCCTCAGCTTGGCTTCGTTCATGACTTCTGGCCTCGAACCGTGCTCGTAATCTTCCAAAGTCTCGTCTTCCTCTCGGAACCGTTGAAACCAAGTCTGACACTGCCTGAGAGACGAACTGCCATCTCCGAAAGCTGCACAGAGAGAACGATGCGATTCGCCAGCAGACTTTCCAATTTTGAAGTTAAACAGTAATGCTGCTCGTAGCACAAACTTTTGCTCGACCATGATCTAAGTAAAAAATATAAGCATTTTTAAAAAAAATAAACAACAACCAAAAAATTCAAATGTCGAAATAAATAGCAAACAAATATGCGAACAAATATGCAAAAAAAAATTAAGCCGTTAGCATCGCTCGTTTCTGATAAATGAGAGCTGATACCCATTGGCAGTTTCTTTTGCACCACCCTAATAGACAAGATTATTTTAATTAAAGATTGATTAACAATGTTAATTAAAAATTAACAAGTAAAGATTTAAAGACCTTAAAACTTAAAGAACTTAAAAATTTAAGATTTAAAGATGAAGAGCTAAAAAGAAAAGAGAAAATTTTGTCTAAATCTCTAATTTTACAGGAAAATATCAATCGTATGCGCAAATGGAAAGGATTTTCGATGAATTGACGATTTTGAGCGGTCACGTCACCGATCCACCGGACGATTTACGCGAATCGAGAAAAGATGGACCCACTAGAAACGAGTTATCTCAATCATAAACAACTTTTTTCTTTAAATGATATACTTTATTCAGCATTTACCATCAGATAAAGTAATATTTAAAATCAACAATTCCTCAACTCTTCCCATTCGATCGAGGAGAGCCCCATTGAGTCTCAAGTTGAAGGAAATAATCTTCCTGATTGGCACCCGTATACAATTTCTAAAGGTTTAAATGATCAAATTTCATTTTCATATAACTCTCATTTGTTTTCTTTTTAAAAAATCGATTCAAACGCACTTTTCCATGAACATCAATCACTCCGCTTTCTTCTCGTTTATTTTGAATGTGAACAACAAAAGAACTAAAGTTTGCTGGATACTAGATACCGTAAATACTGTAATAGTACCGCACCCCCATTATGACGATGCGGAGTGTTGTGTAGTCTAGCTTTGAACGAGTTTTCCTCGACACTGGTTTATGCTACAATGCGCACTTAGGTATCAAAAAATAGCCCTGAATTTCAGCTATTTTTTGATACCAAAGACGCATTTTTTGGAAGTACGGGCGCTTTGAAAAAATGAAATACTAAAAAACTTTTGCGACTACGCGACTGTACGAGGAGGGTGGGGTACTATTACAGTATTTACGCTTTATACGTTTTCGGTCTGTTCATCGATAGGTGTACAGCAAAATTGCATGTCTTGACCCCTCTAAAAAACGACTTTTTTAAACGTTTTTTTTTCTATTATTAGATAGAGCTTGTCAAATGCTATCCAACAATAAAAACTTTTGAAAACATCGATTTTAAAGGGCTTCAAACGTGAATTTTCGTTGTACACTTAACGACGAATGGACCGAAAATGCACACATCTACTACAAAAGTCTAATTTCAAAAGTTTGACTAGTTGACTGAATAGTAAAGCTGAATAGTAAAGCTGTACGAGGCTATCAGACATTATTCGCCAAACTACTGTACTTGCAATTAGTACTATACATGTTAGTATGCTGAAAAGTAGGTACAGATAGTAGTGTAAGAATTGTACGGCCTGATTCTAAGAATTGTACAGTCTGATTCTAAGAATTGTACGACCTGATTCTAAGAATTGTACGGCTTGATTTGGACTTGGACTTGGACTTAGTCTCGACTATATAAGTTTAGCTTCAAAAAAGACAGCTCACTAACACAGTTTCGACAGCCAGCCAGCCAGCCAGCCAGCCAGCCAGCCAGCCAGCCATAAAACTCAGTCACCAACCCATTTGTCCACAAGCAAAAGCGTTTCATCAACGAGCTCTTCGCTAAACGAAACACTTGGAGATTCGTGACGACAATCAAAATAGGCAAAAGAGAAATGTTTCTGAAGTTTTACTTGTTTCCCTCAAATCATTTCTTGTCGTACATTCCCAATTGAATTCCCATGAACATTCCAATGAGATTCCGAGTAGACCAGGTGATATTTAACGAGTGGGTGTAAAATAAACACATAAAAATGAAAAATGACACGAGATAACACCAAATGATCGTTGATAAAAGCTGAGAAAGTATTGATTTGATAAAGAATTCAGCAAACCTGCATCGACTTGTGATTATCTCTGAGTTGATAGCTTTTGCTCAATGTATATCCTTGAAAATCACCCTTTAAAATGGCTTCCCTTTTTGAATTTGTTACACGAATCATCAAAAGACTGAGCTGAAATTGATGATTGATATTCGTTTATAAAGAAAAGTTACCAAACCACTGAAGACTCCCACAATTAGGGCAAGCAAGAGAATGAGCAATCGGTTTAGAATTGCTGAAAACGCTGGATTTTTAGTTTAGATTCAATTATTTTAACATCAATAAGACAGGGTGGCGCACAATTACTCAGTTCAGATTCTCCAGCTTAGCCAAGAATCAATCAATCGACCTAATTCTGTTCTTGATTATCAAATTAAATATTTCTCTTGCAATGTGTTTTTTGGATTTGATCAGAAAAGTTTCTAAATTTTTTCTAGAGAAGCTGAAGACGGCCAATGGCATCCAGTACTTGGAAAAGGGATGAAAAACGGAAAAACATCTAATATTACTCTTCTGACTCCTTTAGATCCTTTAGAGTTTTTAAGGAAAAAGGAAACAAAACTCTTTTCAGAGATGAGTTGTGCAGTGTTTTTGAAAAAGAGTGGAACAATTTGTCTTGTTATTGTCTTGTTATTGTCTGGGTTAATTGAATGGTCTAGATGTTTTGAAATGCTTTAGTTAATTCATTTAGAATCTAGGACAAATGTGAAATGTGAAATTGGACAAATGAAAATGGAGAATTGGATATTTAGTTACTTTTAGACATTTAGACATAAAGCAATCATTTTTCTATTGGTGGGTTTTTAAATAATGGCGATTACTGTCGCAAATATAAATATTTAGCAATATGATATTATGACTGAGAAAATCGAAAAGCTTCTGGACGGGAATGAAGGTCAATACGGTAGCGTTAAACAATTCTGATCCTTAGTCATAAACTTTTCTTTAGTTTGCTCTTCGGAACGGGCTTGTAAAACAGATGAAAGCGTCGACTCTGGGTTCTCGTGCGTTTTGAAATACTTTAGTTAATTCATTTAGAATCTAGGTGAAATTGGACAAATGAAAATGAAAAATTGGACATTTAGTTAATACATGGTGGCGCACAATTACCCGCACTCAGCTCAGATTCTCCAGCTTAGCGAAGAGTCAGTCAATCGACCTAATTCTTTTTTGATTATCAAATTGACTATTTCTCTTGCAATGTGTTCTCTGGATTTGATCAGAAAAGTTTCTAAATTTTTGCTAGAGTGCCAAGCAAAGTTGTTACACGCGTTTCCTGCGATGGAATCGCGATTTTCTGGTTTTTGTAACTAGTTTCAATGCCTTAAAATCAAAGAAAGCCAGCTTCATTTACTCCTTTTTACTTTTTATTTCCAAAATCTAGGTAATTTTTACTAGAAAACAATGAATTTCGATTAGGGATCAAAGTTCAAAATGTGAATTTGAACTGATTTGCGGGTGTTGTGCGCCACCCTGTAAATGAGCCTATTCAAAGTTGCAAAGTTCCAATTTTACTTTTATTCAGATTGATGATCTATTCAACGTTTCAAAGCTCCAATTTACCATGTTGACAAAAGAATTTGCAAGGAAAGGTGACGAGGGTGATGTGGAGATGGAAAATGCGACCTGTACTGAGCTAGTGCAGCAGTTGGGCACAACGTTGTTTTAAACGCATTTTTTTCAAGACAAGCAGATCCAAAGGATGCAGAATTTTTCGCTGATTCCGATGCTGTATTTAGTTTTTCGCAAAATGACGTGGAATTGTGAGGAATCTGGCAAAAACGTTTTTGCCATATATTCTTAAGGCTTTCGTAAGGTAAGAAGAAACTGTTTTTTTGGAAAATAAAATGAATGAAGCATCATTTAGCATAAGACATGAGCTTTCAGTGTCTTCCACAATCCATCGTCTCGCAAATTTTGTCGCCAACTTGGAAGCACAGATCAGCTGGTGTTTGGAAAGGAACAAAATGAGCATCAACGTATCCGCATTTTAATCCCGAGGGTAACTGTTTAAGACTTAAAGTTAACGACCGTTTTGAAATCTTTGGCATTGGCGGATATCGGTATTTATTCTTTTTCAGGTAATGCGCGATTACGTGTGCACGTAGGGAACACACTGAGATAGGTTTTCTAAAAAAGCAAAAGAAAGTAAAAGTAAAAGGATTCGGACTTGCAAGCAATAGACTCGAGTACTCTACCAATCGGCTACCGCTACAGTTCCCTCTTACCTTACGAAAGCCTTAAAAATATATGCCAAAAACGTCTTTGCCAGATTCCTCGCGATTCCAATTCATTTTACAAAAACTAAATACAGCATCGGAATCAGCGAAAAATTCTGCATCTAGATCTCATTTTGGTCTAGATCTCATTTTGGTCTAGATCTCATTTGGGGCTAGATCTCATTTTCCATCTCCACATCACCCTCGCCACCTTCCCTCATTAGCCCTACTGTTAGGACTCCCTCACTTCATCTTTCACAATTCCTTCTAGTTTACTGTACAGAGCTAGTGCAGCAGTTGGGCAAAAAGTTGTCTTAAACGCATTTTTCAAGACAAGTAGATCCAAAGCTAACCTTTCGTACCATCCTAAAATAAGTAAAGCCAGGAGCCAAGTTCTGTCCAGGCTTGCTTGGCTTTAGGTCAACTTGAGCTTACCATCCTCAGCCCTGGTTTTGCTACAAGTATTGTCCAAAAGGACCATGCTATTGGGTTGGGAAGAAATGGCGAACGAACTTTTGAAAAAACTAAGTCATAACTTTTTCTCAATTCTTTTTAATAATTGTCAATATTGAACTTAATTTATTATTGTATAAAATAGCCATTTTAAACGGATGCTAGTCGAGTAATTTTGTTATAAACATCGTCACGTTAAGTGGTAGTCAAAAATTGACCATCCCCTTTGGTACATCTATTCCCATTTCTCAAAAATTGCGCATCAGATCGAGATGGAATTTTGGTATATAATCAACAAAATTGTTTAAAAAAAGTAGAGGAAAAGTTATGGTTTAGTTTCTTTCAAAAGTTCGTCCAAAGACCCCGCCATTTCATACTCCGCAACCCAATAATTGTCATGAGGTGAATATGTTATTAAGTGCTACCCGATTTCTACTTAAAAAAACGCTACCAAAAGTGTAGACAGAGGCAACAGTGAGGGCAAAAACCGTTGAAACGATGGCCATTGTGAGGATGAATGGCTGATAATGAATCCGCTCGTAGGTATCAACTTTAAGCATCGCAACGATTCGCTCGATAAAAAATGTCGCGAACATTGCTGAAAGTTGATAACGTTTTTGGTTTTAAAACTATTTTGAATTTTGAATTGTTTTGCTTTTGAATTTTGAATTGTAACAGCTTGCTTGTGCTTTCAAAACCTGGTCCAAGCATATAAAAAGTGCCGAGCAGTAGCGAGAAGCCGACCAAAATAGGAGAACATTGGTCAGATGCTGAAATTGGAAAAAGCTTTTGATACTTTTTGATACGAAAGGTTATGGATCTGCTTTTCTTGTCTGCTTTGGATCTGCTTTGGATCTGCTTTTCTTGTCTGCTTTCGGTCTGCTTTGGATCTGCTTTTCTTGTGTTTTGGATCTGCTTTGGATCTACTTGTCTTGTCAAAAATTTGAGAAGAAATCTTTGTCTATTCTTACTTTCTAGATATGTTTCACACAAGAAATTCTCTTGACGATTCTGAAAATAAATCATCCCAGCTCGAGTGAATGCAAATGGATAAACACTGAAGAGACAAATTGAGAAAAGAAAATTGACATTTGGATGAAAAAGCTAAAAACTGGTGGATAATGATAAAAGCACAATTTTCCTTTCACCGATTTCCTTTCAATGAATGACTGTACAAATGGTGCTGTGAAAAAGGTCAACAAATAAAGCGCCATCTCAATGGTGTAACTGAGATAAATCATTGTTTCCATTTGATCGTTCATCACTGTCAATCTATTAGTAAACATCAAAAGTTGAAGTTTCATCGATTCAATAGTCTAAATACTTTGAGATTTGAGATTTGCACGAGAAGGAAGAGAAATCCCAAGTGCATTCAAATTAAAAATTCCACCTGATTACTTTTCGGTTCATTTGCCGTTTTCTCTCGTTTTTTTGATTACAAATTGCCAGTCAAATGACTAATACAGTGCGTTCCAAAAGTTTAAACGGTAGCGCAAAATGGGCGTTTCCGTAAAAAATGCAACTAAATTTTTTGTTATTTTTATCCACATTAATTTAAAAAACCGAAAAATTTTTAAGAAAAAACTTTTATTGGGTTGTCCAGTTATGAAAGCGCGTTTTTTACTATTTTGTAAATTTCTCAAGATACCGAAATCAAGAAAAAGATATATATGAGTATTATTCGAAAGTTGAAGATCTCCTCTACATTTTGATATAAAAAGTTTTTGAATTTGTCCAGCTTTTGGGCAAATTGACTGCACAGAAGAAGAGGTGGTCAAAAAATGGAAGGGTGCCTTTGGATCAAGTTTTGGCTCCGCTCAAATTGAGTTAACCGTTTGATGTTTGGCCAATAGATATATCAATACAAGCTTTTTAAAAATATAACAATTTCAGAGCATCTTTACTTTTCTTTTCTTTTCTGGGCGGTTATTTTACACCATAAAACTTGAGGAATAGCTCAGCTGAAATGGGTTTTTTCGAAAACGACCTCTCCCTTTGTGCAGTCAATTTCCCAAAAAGTTGAATGAATTCAAAAACTTTTTTATTCCAAAATGTAGAGGAGATCTTCAGCTTTCGAATGATATATAACACTCATATACATCTGTTCGATATCTTGAGAAATTTACAAAATAGTAAAAACGCGCATTTTTGATAGACCGAATGAATCAGATCCGATTCGATAGACCGAATGAATCAGATCCGATTCGATTGGACCGAGTTGAAACAGATCCGATTCGATTGGACCGAATTGAATCAGATCCGATTCGATTGGACCGAATGAATCAGATTCGATTCGATAGACCGAATGAATCAGATCCGATTCGATCCGATCAGATGCGAAATGAATCAAATCCAAATTGAATTAGAACCGAATTAAATCACATCCGATCAGATCCGAATTAAATCAAATCAGATTCGAAATGAATCAGATCTGAATTGAATCAGAACCTTGAGGAGAAATAAAGGTGAATGAAAAACTTTCGAAGGATAATTGATTACAAGAGGGCTTAGGCTTCACGTTTTTTCCTCCAACACCCCAAAAATGGCCTTCACGTTCTTTTTTTTGCGGTGTCGGAGGAAGAGATACAGAGAATATAACAAGTGAATACGGTCACACTAGCTTGCTTTCCAAAACAATGAAATGGTATCACCAAATCACTGGTTTTTGAGAAGAATATTGGTATTTGGAAAAAAGCACAAGCACAATTGCCCACGTTTTGTCGTTTTTATTTGATTAGAACATTTTGAATCTGAGCATTTTTTGATGACAGTAGAGAATCAAAAAGTGTTCCTCTTCTAAAAGCAAAACCGACGAGTAACTTATTGCTGTTAGTTCAATAAAGTTTCGCAAACAAAACACTCAGATCAGTTTTTTTCTTTACTTTTCTTCCAAAAATATTTGTGACCATGGGATAAACTAATCTTCTAATTTTCTAGTTCTCTCTCTCTTTTTTAGAAGAAAAAGTGTAAATGCTAAATGTTACAATCATTTTCAAGTATAGTGAGGTTTGATTTCTGTTCGTTCTTTGTCGTCTTTTGTCTTTGTTTATAGTCGTCTTTGTCGTCTATCTTTGTTGTCCAGCCAACTCTACGGTTTAAAGTTTCATCTTGAGAAACATTAAAATCACTTTTTCTCTGACCCGAACATTCATAACGTTTCTCGACGTAAGTGTATAGAATTTTATTTCATTAATCTCATCCCTTTTGTTTTTTTTGTTTAATTTTTGTAATCATGAATAAGCGATAACTGTGTTGAAAAGTAAGCAACAAATAAGCTGTTTATTTTGACCTCAGGAGCTCATATTGATGAAATAGTTCCTTGAGCCACAAGATGAGCGTCTTGTTTCCTAAAAAAGTGACCTGTAGAAGACTTTAAATCAGCCTTTCAATAAGATTATCTCATTCAAGCAAACAAACCGTTTAAACAAACCATGAACACTTCACAAGCCATGCAAATAATCGTTGACGGTCTAAGATTGTTTCAAAATCTTTGTGCATTTTTGGTGTACATCTGAATGGCAGCTGATTTTGGAAAGCTTGTTAAACAGCAACTAGCTATGGTTTTTAATACTTAGCGAACCAAGTTACTATTAGGTTGATGCATAAGTCTTTTCGTTTTTTCCGTACTTCTGTTAAAAAGTAACAAATTCACCAACTATAGTTTGCTCTATAAAAAAGTGTTTTTTGTTCAATTTGCATCTTTTTAAATGAATTTCGGTTCACTTTCAAGCAAATTCGAGAGTGACAAAACGCTTTTTTTCGTAAAAATCTATAAAAAACTCTACGGAAAAACTGGCTGAATGAATTTCTCTGAAATTTTGGCGAAATATCAAACTTTTTTTTCTCTATCTTTTATCTATTGACACGAAGATAGGTTTTCTTTAGCTAAGGTGTCTAAACCGCATCATCGAGTTAGCCCTTTTTGACTACCCGACTTCATACTCTCAAGAAAATCCAGGCATTAAATATTTTTAAACCCGTTTTAATGTTATTTTGCAGAAAAATAATTGCTTTTTCTAATGAAATCAACCGTAGTTTAATTGGTGCATTTGTTGGCTTGAAACGGCAGACGAAAAGGAACGAAAAGACTTATGCATCAACCTAATAGAAGAGAAATCCCCTTTTCTCACCTCTGTTGCCGATTCACTGATCTCATTCGCTTAAAAAACCTAAAACTCGACGATTCAGGGAATTCAGGGAACAACCTTGAACCTGCAATAACACAGAATATAAAGAAGCTGTGACACAACAGGATACCCATAAATTTTTATTAAACAAATTCTGATTTAAAGCACTTAGTTTGGAACAGAAAATTGACCTGAGATTGATTGAATTGATCTCAAAAACATTGCCGGCATACGAATAGGTGACACAATTTCTTAGAAACTTTATTGAAATTATAAAAACAGCAATTTTAAAGCAAAGATATGTTGTTTTTTCAATAGACTTTTCTTTTTACGAAGTGTCCATGTGAAAGTGGAAACACCTTGATTTGTAGCCGCACTCGACGAGATCACCTTTAGACCGCCTTTTTCGGCAATGTTCAGAATCTCTGTCGGAGTTGTGTTTACGATATGAAAAAATCTGCAATAACTACAATTTTCTTATCATTTTCAAAAGACAAACCTCTCTGGAAGATTGGGATTTTGTGTTGGGAATCGTTTCTTCAGAATCGGAATGAAAATTTGAGCTGAATCCTCGACGTCGACTCCGTAGCATCGAGAATCACTCGCTGAAATCGATATGACCATAACGTAAGGCATTCTGTTTGCAAAAATGAGAAAACTGAAAAAAAAAAAGAAACTCTTCCAGCATTTCTTATCATTTCCGGTACCTCAAAAGTCGTTATTCGGTCGACCGAATTGAAATCGATTTGGCATTTTCCAGAGTAGCTTTTAGTTCATAAATTTCTTCGCCATGGATTGATTTTTGAATCGAAAACGGTGAACAATTATTGTAAATAAGCAAATGTTTTGCTGATGCCAACAATTAAAGCTTAAATTTGAACAAAAAGGTTTGTTTTTTTCATAGTTGATTTTATTAGTCTGAAGCCATCATTTTAGGTATGAACGTCAATTAACCCATTCGAAACTGCAGCGTTTTTTCTTTTTTTTCGTCTACGGACCAAGCCCTTTTTTGACATTTTTGACTCCGAAGCAGTTTATTTGTGGTTGGAAAGATGCAAGAGAGTCTCCTCCACCATTTATTTTTGATGAAGAACGATTTGGATTTGACTTCAGTACTTTTCAAGATCCTATATTATTCTTATTTTATCGACGACAAATTAATCAACATGTTAGTAGGCGAATCTAATAAACATGGAAAAAGGAAAAAAAACTGGCAGGATTTCGATGCAAGCTCTTCCTGGCTCTGTATCTTCAAATGGGAATCGTCAAATTACCGAGGATGCGTGACTACTGGAGTAGCAGGCCTGGATTAGGAGGATTTTCCCACATGTCCCACATTATGTCAAGAGCAAAATTTGAATCTATTCTTCGAAACCTGCGTTTTTGTGATAATGAACTGGATCCTGCAGGAGATCGGCTTTATAAGATTAAAGCTATTATGGAACATTTCAATGCAAAACCAGAGACTGCATTGATTCCGGGTAAATATGAAACATCTTTTTTGCCCACGTAATTTGTAGATCTGCTACAATTGGAATATACATGTAATGCTGAAAAACAGCAAAAAAAACCAATTAATTGAATGAAAATAGCTCAATTAGCGCTGCAGCGAATAATCGCTGCAGCGGTCCGTTCCTGAGTTTTTGTTGCAGCGATTATTCGCTGCAGAAGTTTCGAATGGGTTAATAAAGTGTTTACTGTCTTTACAGTGTTTACAGTGTAACTATTTTCGAATCTGAAATATCTAAAATATCTGAAATAAAACGAAAGTCGATTTAAAATACCGCAATTGAGTGCGAAAAGACATAAGCTAAAGCCACATTTCTACAGCCTACAATTATTTGGTGATGGGCAGAGAGAGTTTAAGCAGGAATCTTAGAGTGAAACGTGCTACGATAAAAAGCCACGAGAATGCCATCGTGAATAAGCTGAATAATAAGCTGAAGCCACATTTCTACAGCCTACAATTATTTGGTGATGGGCAGAGAGAGTTTAAGTAGGAATCTTAGAGCAAAACGTGCTACGATAAAAAGCTACGAGAACTCTACATCGTGGGAAAATCTTTTATTGAGTTTACTTTGTAAATTAGCATTTGAAAAGCACTCTTGTCTGATTGAGAAGGCATATTTGAATCAAATACAACATGACAACGATCAGCCATTGTACATGAAAATTCTGGAAAGCTGGTTTAGCAATTGTTGGCACTTTTGTATTATCTGGAGAAAGGGGAATCTCAGAAAATAGTAGCTGGGCGGGGAATGTCAAGAGCTGGCAATATAGACGTTTTATGGTTACAGAAAACGCACAACACAACCGTCCACACACAACATATTGAGAGGATGGGGCGCCCATTCAAAGATTGCAAACCGTCACCGCCACGGAACTCATCGAACAATGCTTGAGAGCTACATTATTGAGGGGATCTGGAAGATGCACTGTTAGCTGCTACTTTGATTCCAACCATCGAGAAGTGCATTGCTCCTGGAACCTGGATCATTTCTAATGGATGGTCTTCGTATCGAAGTCTCGCTTCCCACTATCGTTTCAATTGGGTCAACCACACAACAAACGTCGTCGATCCCGTCGATCCAACCGCCCACACACAATATATTGAGAGGATGTGGCGCCCATTCAAAGATTGCAAACCGTCACCGCCACGGAACTCATCGAACAATGCTTGAGAGCTACATCGCTGAGGGAATCTGGAAGATGAACTCTGATAGTCCAGTTTTCGCCGCCATTCTCGAAGACATCAAAAATTACTGGCTCGCCGGAATTCCCAAAACTCCCTTCCATATTAATGCTTGAATAAACTTGCTAAATCGATTACAATAAACAACATTAAAAGACAAAAAAATGTATAACTGTATTGTGCAGTGTGTGAGAGGGTACCGATGGGGCAATGATTATTAGATATTTATTCGGAACATAGCACAATTACTAATCTAGTGAGAAAATATAATAAAATAGAATGAAGTGTTTCAAAGCCAAAAGAAAAGCAATACAAAGTGGCCTCCGTCCCTTTTATCAGACAAAACGATCTTTAGAGGAAGGACAGGAGAATCAGAGATATTCAAAATCAAAACATTAAATAAGATTTCACAGAAAAGAGCTACTTTTCTGCACATGTATGAAATGAAAGAATGGAGTTTAAAATCAAAAAGTGAAAGCTAAAAGCAAACAAAACAAAATCTAGTGGAAAATGAAAAGAAAAGATTCCTCTCAGTCAATTTTTTTTCTGAGATTTCCTAGAACACAAAAAGTACCCAATAGTTTTCTGTCACCAGATCTGGGAGTGTTAAACACGTTCAAATAAAACTTTTTTCTTCGATGGTTCATTATAGCTTAACTTGTATCACTCTGTCGTGAAGATCTCGTGATCGAGATCACCAATGGCCAGCCAGACAACTTTGTGGGCGAACGCCTATTGTGCGAGATTTAATATGCGTCGCTATCCGTTCAACTCCATTGTGTGCAAGACGAGACCAACGCCAAAGTCTGTATAAAAGCAATGTGAGCGAGTTGCCGAGCTGCGTGGAGTCGTCTCTACTCTCCCAATCCCAAACCACTGAACCAACTATTATCGCTTTAATAAAGATTATATCTAAGCCACCAATAATCACTACACACTCCAAGATTCGAAGTTTGACTTCTAGTACTATTTTTTGGCGTTTAATAACCGTTTAAACTAATGAACTGTGTCCCAAAGACAATACATTTTATCATTTTTATTAATTTAAGTTTTCCAAGTTTAAATCACTTTGCGAATTATCCAACACCGGATGAGGTTGCTGCTGTGTTGCTGACGGATACGAGGGATTTCTTTTGCGGTTTCCATCGGTTGACCAATTTAAGTACTGATTCTCGATATGGGCGCACAAAATAGATGCTGAAAATTGGACTCAACACCGGCTGAAAAGCGACAATCTGAAATTTAAAGATTCAAATTTAAAGATCTTTCATTTTGAATCTTTCTAGCTACCGTAAATACTGTAATAATACCCCACCCCCATAATGACGGTGCGGAGCGTTGCGTAGTCTAGCTTTGGACGCGTTTTTCTCGACACTGGTTTATGCTACAATGTGCGCTTAGGTGTCAAAAAATAGCTGAGATTCAGGGCTATTTTTTGATACCAAAGACGCATTTTTTGAAAGTACGGGTGCTTTGAAAAAAAGGAAATACTAAAAAACTTTTGTGACTACGCGACTGTACGAGGGCGGTGGGGTACTATTACGGTATTTATGGTGAATATAAGAAGAAAAATAGCCGCTTATTTACGGTGAATATTCTTGCTTTATTCTTCCCCAAGACTTGTAACTTGTGACTTGCAAATTCCCTCCGAAACCAAATTAAGCTCATTTCATAAAAGCAATTTTGAGTTTTTTCTTGTGAAATAAGCTTCTGATTGTTTGAACTTACATAATAAATCAAATGTTCGAAGGTGGGTGAATGCACAATTCCCATTTGTTGGATTCCATAAAGTGAAGCACAAAAAACGAGAACAAGTGGTAAAAGTGATTGAACCGTTAACGCCTGTAATTGTTGACTTTGATACAAACACACGTTTTTAGTTTCGCCTCTAGTCCACAAAGGGAACGACTTTGAGTTGAGCACTCACACTTTCAAATGCCCATAACTTTGTCTAGAGAGAATATCATTGTTAAACTTTTATATATTTTAATAAAGACACTTCAGTTTTTCAAATGATGCCAAATAGAGGTTGATTGGAGCACACAGTTTTGTGAAAGTGAAAGACAAATCTCACAAATCAGATCGCATTCTGTTTAGTGGCACAATGATTTAAAAGGCTATATTCTTTCTCAAAAATCGGCAAATTTAGAGCAAAAATTGTTCCGAAAAGTTTGGGCCCAAATAGTAGCGTCCAAAGCAGTCACTTTACATGCTTATCGGATATTTGATACGCGCCTACCCTTTTGTCATTGGCAATCTAACTTTGAGCTCAAATATCTTGGTGTTGAGCTGGTCAATTTCATATATTCTTGGTATCATTAGATGCGTCAAGTATTTCTCTGTCGATTGGTACAAAAATTATTTGAATTCAACAGCCCAACACCAAGATCTTTGAGCTGAAAGTTAGATTGCTAATGGCAAAAGGGGGCGGGCCTTGCGTATAAAAGGTTCCACAATAGCCCAGCCCCTTTTCCCATTGGCAGTTTGAGCTCAAATATCTCGGTGTTGAGCTGTTCAATTTCATATATTTTTCGTATCATTAGATGCGTCAAGTCTTTCTCTATCGATTGGTAGAAAAATGATTTGAATTCAACAGCTCAACACCATGATCTTTGAGCTTAAAGTTAGATTGCCAATGTCAAAAGGGGACAGACGCGTATCAAATGTCCCACAATCTTTTCTGTAACTGATTTTCAAATGAGATTTGTGCCCGGGGATTTTCAGGGTCGGGTAGTAACTCCAAAAGTTCCTTTAATGGCTTAGAGCGCCATTCTCTCGGCCAATCCACTATTTTCCCGAATCAACCAACCATCCTCAACTCTCGGTGAATCGCTCGAGTCTTCGGGCTCAAATCCATAATCGATAAGGCCATCAAAACTCTTCTTCGACACCAGAACATGATCATATATGAGACTCCTGTACATCCAATTGTAAAGGTGATTGTGTACATTGTCCAGAATTTCAAGATCGTTATATGACCCGATACTTGTAGATTGGTTAAATTGTAATTAAGTGCTGAAGTTAAAAGAGGTCTTAACACTGCCGGATCATCGTCACAAGTTGAAAATGTGATCTAAGATTGGATTTCATTGAAAAATGAAGAAAAATGACTAACCGATGACATGATTGATGGAGTTGAGACGAGAAAACAGATAAGCAAAAGAGTTCCTTTTTTTATGGATCCCTGGCATTGTTGAGATTTTTGGTATTATGAAAATTAAGCTTACCGAATGTATCAGTACATAATAACGATAGAGAAATGAGATTGCTAATGAGTAAAGTCCGTCGGTCATCGCATACACGACAGTACAATAGCCGAGATAGCAAACACGTGGACCGAAAAAGGTACAGTAACCATAGGATATGTAGAATAGCGATAGGTGGACGGGAATCATTCTAAAGTTGGTAGATGATTTAAAAAAATGTTTAAAGCTGTTTAAACACAAGCCAGGTATTTAGGAGATCCCACTCTGCATGTTGAGTTACTTACAAGGGAATCTTAACTGGGTAAAGTAGCCAAATGGCATCAGCCATATGCTACTCGACGCAGAATTTGACGCTCATTCCGAATCTGCTTTTCGTTTCTGCTATGGAGCACTCTGTCAAAAGTTATAAGCTTGTATTTTTGCATGGAATTTCAAAAATCACACCCCGAGTTTATAAGTAGCTTCGAGACCTTGAGATTCTTATATAAGCAAAAACAAAGTAAGCATCACATCCCAGGACAAATTTATAAGCAAATTTCCTAGGAACTTTGGGAAGCACTGGTGGCTGAGTGATAGCCGGTTAGTCTCCCCAGTTCGAGTCAGCCGTTCTACTTGTTTTCTTTCCCTTTTTTGGTTTTGCAAAGTTAGTTTCATGTTTTGTTTTGTTGTGGTTGTTGTTTGTTGTTCTCTGTTTTTTCATTTTATAAAAGTGTTGATTTTTAACTTTTACCATCAAACAGATATCATTAAGTCAAGAAAAACAGGACTTCAACATTAATAACAATGAGCGAGTTTCATTCGATACTCAAACGATGCTTTTCTCGGTGTTGAGCTGTTCAATTTCATAAATTCTTGGTAACATTAGATGCGCTAAGTCTTTCTCTGTCGATTGGTACAAAAATGATTTGAATTCAACAGCCTAACACCATGATCTTTGAGCTTAAAGTTAGATTGCCAATGGCAAAAGGGGGCGGGCCTTGCGTATAAAAGGTTCCACGATAGCCAAAAGGTCAAAATTGATGATACAAATTGTGCGTTTTTGGCTTTAATTTCTTGTGACCGTCATAACTGTAGCTAAACTACGCTTGGAAAAAGTCAACTTTCCACCTTTTCATCGACGATGTTGTCATTGTTGTGCTTGAAACATGCCTATTGAACCAAGAGTAGCTCGAGCAAACTCTTATTGCTTTCTTGTGCCATAAACAAACCTCTGCATGACAAACATGTTAACGAGGCAAGCGATTAAATCGGTAAGAGCTGAATTCCCGATAAGAATTGAGTAGGATTTGAGCCATGGTGGAGTCGAACGAGTGATGATTACAAGCAAGGTAATACTCAAAATAATCCCTGGCGTTTCGACGATGTGATGGAGAAGGAGGAACAGTTTGTCTTCTTTGGACATCGCTCCTCCTCGAAACAAGATATCCATCAAGAACAAGATATCTAAAACTGAAATCAAGTTGTTGAATTCAAAAGCAATAAAGACCAATCTGTAGCTTTGAGGAATTTCAATTACAGAAAATGAAATCTCGAATAGATTGACTCCAAGAAAAACTCCGCGAATTTGATTAGGATCAAAAGATGGTTTAGAGTTTAGAGTGTCGAATAAATGATTGTTTTTGGGTAAAAGAGTTCAGCTTTTTAACTGTTATAAAAAGATTCAAATCCAGTTTAGAAAAATGGAATCTTTAAGTACTAATGCATGAATCATTCCAATCCACCTATCTAACTTATATATAATTTTAAAATGGCAATCTGTCCGTTCGGAGCTCTAACGGACGCAGGAGTGCGTTTTTCGGGAAATGGTCGATGAAATTTGATGTAGTTGTGCCTTTTGAAAACCGTTTCAAAAAATACCCAGTAGAAAAAAAGTTATGTTCGGTTCTTAAGGTTTTTTGGGGTCGCGCCCCCATCCACAGAGGCTCGCGCGCCGCGCAATGGCCAATTGGTTAGCATTGCTCGAACCGAGTCCGAGAGATCAAGCTTTCGAACCGGCCTCCGGCCAAACATTTTGCTTTTTTTACCAAAAGCTCAAAAATAATAGAAATAAGGTTTAAGCAAAAAGGAGCGCCCCAATTTTGCGCCGTCCTTAAAACTGAAATCAAGTTGTTGAATTTAAAAGTAATAAAGACCGGCCCGCTGTAGGCGAGTTTCCCGCTCGTGATTTCAAATGGTTGATATGAATAAGTTGATCCTGATTAGCTTTTGGGACATAAAAATGGATAAAGTACCAATTTTTGGTCGAAAGTTAGCACTTTTTGACGCGACTTCCTTCTATTCGTGGGAAAGCACACCGTGATTAGACTTGAAACTTTCTTCAGCCCTAATAAGCGAAAAAAGTTGCCACAGTTATTGTATCCAAATAAATTAGTTTTTCAAAGAGCAAGGCCGGAAAGCTAAAGGAAATTCTCAAGGTTTGGGAAAACTTGGTGTGTTTTGAAAGTGATAAACAGTGCTGAAAACAGTATGTGATCTTGGCTACCAGTTCTACAAGATCTATCGATTCCACAAGATTACTTTGTCCGATTGAATGTCTAGAATACCTAGACGAGGGTCTTCAGTCTAAGAAATAGTTGTCAAAAGGCGCTTGTGATTTTTTTCCTCAGAAACTCGGATCTTTACGTTGTGGAAAGCTATAATATTATTCTCTTGGAACAAAGAGTTAAAATAAACTCCACCAATAGATTCTACGATCCCGAAAACGTCAGGGCCCAAATTTTTAACAAAAAATCTCATTTGAGAATCATTTACAGAACAAAGCAAACAAAAGAAAAATCACTGTGCAAAGTGAGTGACGAGGTGTTTTTTGTGCGTGATCGCTCGCGACCTGGCAAACCCCTCGGTATATAATGCTTCCCTTTTGGTATAAGGGAAGGAGCGGTGCACTATTGAGCGTTCTTTGCGAGTTTGGTGATCAGTATGCCCAGACTTTTGGGAACAACTCTTGCCCAAGACTTGGCCGATTTTTCTTAAAAATTCTACATCCCGATGGATTGGCTTAATAAAAAGTCTATCGATCTCTTGAAGTTGGAGAATACAGATGCGAAAAAGAATCGATTTGGCTTTGAGTTTTGCATATGATAGTTTCTGTCAAAATTTTCTGTCATTTTCTGTCAAAAGACTCGGATTTCCGAGAAGAACCATGGATGTTGTAGAAATTGAGCTTTTTAGAAGCTTAAGATGATTTCCATCTCAACGAGTCAAGTCTGTTAAGTCTGTTAAGTAAAGTTTTTTACAAAATGATCAAAATTTTTACAAAGATCTCTCATTTCAGCTGTACTAGAATTTTTGGAAATTTCCTTTTCACTAGTTGAATTCTTTTCTTTACATGAATTTCACCTGCAATCAAGGAACTCTTTTCGAAATGAAAAATCACACACTTCTTAATCAATCGCCATTTTTACTCAGATGGTATTTCGCTAAACCTTTGCAGTTTACAAGTTTAAAAACTTTCTTACTTTAGGCACGCTTTTAAAGTTAACAATGATATACTACCCAACTCAAATCGAGATGAATATTGCGTCTATATTATTCGATATTTCTGGCACTATCTCATTTCTCAATTGCTCGCTAGCTTTTTATTTGCTGTATCGTGACCGAAAGAAACTCTCAAAATTGTACCTATTTCTGCAGGCATCGATTATTGTGAGGAATTAAAGAAGAAAACTTTAAACTTACAATATAATAGGGTTTTCCTTTAATCAGCGACATTTTATGCACAATTTCGAAACCGGTTGTCATTTTACCGTACTTCGCGTGGCGTTTGCTCTGGTCCGTTAAGGCGCCGATACCATTTGTCATCAACGGATGTGTGAGTTTTGACTATCACTGATTGAAATAATGTCTTTCCAAGGATAAGGCTTGACTTAAGGCTTGACTCAAAACTGAATTTGAAATTCGAAAAAGAAATTGATCTTCTAGTTTCTACACTTTTTCAGAGCTTGAGAGTTGTAGTGGAAATTCCCAAAATTCCCGAAAGAATCTTTCACGTTGAACCAAAAAGTTCTTGTTCTAACACGAGCATTTACGAGCATGTGCATTTAAACTAAGATTTTCGGTCTTTTGCACTTTGTACAAACCAGTAGGAAAAAAGTTTTGGAAGCAAAAAGCAAAAGAATTGGCGGCGAGAGGAGTCGAACCCGCGACCTTTCTTGCATTCGTTTGAGAGACGCGCGCGCTAACCACTCGGCCATGATCGAGTAGATGGCTCAATGCGAGCGCACTTGTCTCTAGCCCACATGGCCCGGGTTCGACTCCCGCCGGCGTCGGTACTTCTGGTTTTTAAAAATTTAAAAACGTTGCACAACTACATGGAATACTAAGCCAAACTAACTAACTATAAGTCATTGAAATGGCTCACTGAGTGCGGAGGAGTAGTGCGCACAGACAGACAGAGAGACACAGCTCTTTTATATATAGTAGATTTTGTTAAACTGTTCACCATTTATCTGTTATTTGTATCTGACTTTAACGAAACGGTTTACTTGCACGAATTCAAATAACTAAAGCGAACTGTGGAAGGATACAGATTGAACGATTCACAAACAAAAACGTAAGCAACAAACTTGAACACTGAGTAAAAAAGGACGCGGAATGAAGCCGGAATGGAAATGGAATTTTAACAATAAATTACCATATTTGTGGAAGAAAAGATATTCTGGTAAGACAAGAATTGAGTGGAATTTGTACTTTTCCGTAGTGGTTTCACGTTTTGTACTTTGAAGCTTTGCACTTTTTAAGTGTAAATTGCAGTCGCAGTGCTGATTATTCAGCACACACCTGCAAGCCTATTACAAGCTTTTTAGTAGTCTACTAGCAATTGCCAAATTTGCTTAATATATGGCAAAACTGACAAAGGGAGTTTTTGATGAGAAAAATGACTACAATTTGCTCATTTTGCTAATTGTTGCAATTAGAAATCATGCAAAGTTGCGAGTCGCGGCGGTGGTTGAATTTGGGTTAAAGTAGAGATATCCCCACTGCAGTAAAGCTACAAAATTTGGTACTAGTCGGTGATATTCCAACAAGAGTTTGGCCCAGGTATCAAGTGCGGTTATATCTGGTTCTAGAACTGCCCCAAATTTGTATTAGGCTGGCTAGTAAGTAATGGCGGATTTGCTGGGAGATGGTCTCAAACTTAACCAATCTTAACGACTTTGGTCTTGTTCGAAAGCTGTATTTAATAAAAACACAGTAGAGAAGACCATTTGTTGATTCTTTCCATTTTAAAATCTTTATAAGCATTTAAGTGAGCTTAATCAGACCTAAAAAACTGTCCTCAGATCAACGATCAACAAATTTTAACGTTTTGATGAACTTTTACTCGTTTGATATGAAGAATAATGGAGATTATGTTGTTGATTAATTGTTTCTTTCGTTTTTGTTTCTGTTGTTGTTGTTGTTCTTAAGTTTTGAGGTTAAAATTTCAGCTGCGCGGCTTGGCGACTCGTTAATCCGAGAGTCGATGGTTCGACTCCCAACTGCGACTAAATTTTCAACTTTTCTTTGCAAAAAGACCAAAGTTTACCTTAACTTGGGTAATTTTACCCGCTGATCACGAAAAACATATTTTTTAAGTTTTTGACTGAAAAATTGACGAAATGTGAAATGTGATCAACAACAAAAACGAAAGAAACAATTAATCAACAACATAATCTCCATTATTCTCCATATCAAACGAGTAAAAGTTTATCAAAACGTTAAAATTTGTTGATCTTTGATCTGAGGACACTTTTTGGGTCTGGCTGAGCTCACTTAAATGCTTATAAAGATTTTCAAATGGAACGAATCAACAAATGGTCTTCTCTACTGTCTTTTTATTAAATACAGCTTTCGAACAAGACCAAAGTCGTTAAGATTGGTTAAGTTTGAGACCATCTCCCAGCAAATCCGCCATTACTTATTACTGATATTTCCTTTTAGCTTGCGTTCGTGACTTGTCAAGTCGCCACCGCTTTGATGCTAATGATTGCTCTCGCTTATCGCAAAGCTTTCATCAATAATCAAGAGAAAGCAAAGAAAAAGTTTCGAAAAAGCTTACTCATCATCAGCAGTATAGCATGCATTGCTGCTGTTGTTGCTGTTGCGATCGTGCAAGGAATGCCATTTTACAATGCGGAAAAAGTTTGGAAAGAGGTAACATCTTCCTAAAGCTTGTTTAAACTTCTTTCTTTCTTCCTTTCTTCCATTCTTCTTTCCCCTTGTCTTTCCCTCTTTCTCTTGGCAAGTTAAGGTACCGAATAGCTCAGTGGTTAGAGCAATTCCCGGTAAGCTAAAGGTCGAGCTAAAGCTAAAGGTTTAAACTCCTCTTCAGAAATCTACTTTACTTGCAAATCAAACTCCTTCACGTTTTTATTATCTGCAAAAGACAAATATAAAAGTTTAAGGGTTACAGCGAAGAGGGAAGCGGCATATACACAATGGCTCGTAACTTCTTTTTGGGTCCAATTTTGGCTTCGAAAACAGGCGTACGTTTCTTACTATAAAGAGTGGATACTCGATCTAAACTAACAAGAGAAGGGCAGCTAGTAGCCAAATTGAATGTGATCAAGTCATGGGACGCAATCGCAGTACAACTGACTTCAAAGATACCTGGTTCCGATTTCGTAACGATTCCGTTCAACTGTGTCTTCTTTTGAAGAGAATCTCTGCATCATCAAATCGATTACCTGCTGATTTGCCGGGTCACTCGCTTTGCTTTTGCTCCTTTTTCAAGAATCCATATTGCCCAAGCTTCATCAATCTCTTTTGAGGTCAAATGCGTCCGCCACCATCGAGCCGCTTCCTTTCTTCGTGCATTTTGTTCAGCTCATTTGTTTGTTTAACGTATCGGTGGACAGAAGCCCGGTCAATTTTGTAGAATTTGGCAGCAGCATGAACGGGTGAACGGCATTTTTGCAGCATCGAGTTTAGTCTTCACATCTATTGCTTTTTTTCTTTCGCTTTGGCTTTGGCCGTTCCCTCGTTTGCTTCTTTGTCCGATTCATCATGTAATTCTTCGTTCAATTCATATTGAGATCATTATAAGCATTTGAGTCTTCTTCAAAGAATCCGTTTAGTTCATGCTCAAATCAATCGTGAAACGTTGAAATCATTATAAGCATTTAAGCCTTCCTCAGAGAATCCGTTTAGTTCATGCTCACATCAATCGCGAAACGCTTCAAAGTCATCCCAGCTTTCGTGATCGCTCATCAAACCTAAAAAAATAAAATTATCAAAGAAAACGAATAAGAAATGTTAGAAAAGCAGTAAAACGGAGAAGAATTTAATGAAAATGTTGTAGTTGTAAGCTAAAAAGGAAAAAGCTGAATATCTTAATTTCTCATAAGCATTAAAATATTTAGTTAAGGGGCGCTACTATCACGGTAGGACATCTGCAAGAAGTATTGTAGTGTGAGCGCATTTGAAGCTTTTATCCGACCGTAAAACTGAATATCCTTTTTGTTTCAGGTGGAAAAAATTAAAAGCCATAGTTGAGCCAGCTAAATACTAAAGTTTACTGTAAAAAGGCCTATGACGTAATTCTTAATCGTAACTTTTCAGTCGATACCCCAAGAGATCTACGATGTAATGCTTTCCGACTCGGCAAACATATACTTCTGGGCTTTCACCGGCAGAGCTGATTTGGCGCACGTGTACATCATTGGCGGTTGGGCAATCGTGATCGGGATTTCGTTTTATGTGCTCATCATGACTTATTGGTTGTTGCGTACCATGAAACGAAACTCAAAGAATCTCGTCAGTAAACAGGCTCGACAAGCACAAATCGACTATACTCGGGTTCTATTGTTGCAGGTATAAGGATTTTTCCCTTCCCAAAAATCAATTTCAGGTTTTTCTCATGCTTTTTATTTATGGAGGAGCGGTGGGTGTCGTGCTTTGTCGTTGGCTGAACTTTTTCTACATAGCCTCAATCGGCAAGTTGACTTGAAAGGGATTCCTTGTTGGAAAACGATTACAGAACTTTACGTTCAGCTGTAAATTCTCTATCTTTTAACATTTCTTTTTAAAATTTGGATTTAAAAGTCTCTGTCAAATGTCATCATTTAGTTCCGGCTTTACCGCTTCTGTACCTCAGTTTTCATACGACACTCAATGCTCAAGTGCTGATATTTGGCTCTAAATCTCTGCGCAAGATCTTGAAAACAGATGCCACTAAGATTTTGAATAGTTTGTTCAATATCTATCCGAATAATTCGAAATGTTTCAGAGATTTTACGAAAGAAGAATGCTATCCTTTCATTGACTGTTCCCAGTGATTACAAGAATGAGATACCAGTGAAATTCTGAAACTTTTAACAAGTTGACTTTAAAAATATGCTAATTCACTAATAGTCGATTTATGAAAATTTTTGTGGCATGATTTTAAAGATAATCAAAACGAGAACAAGACACAAAAATGAGGACATTTCGGTGCGGTTTAAGGCGGAAAATGGCTCTTTGTCTCAATCCGTAATGATTTTATTATTCCAAATCAAAATACGATGATTCAAATTTCTTTCCTTAAGTTCCTGATTCACTTTGTATTGGTTTTTCTTCGAAAATCTGTTTATCTATACGCGTAAAAGAAGCAAACACCCCACTTTTTTTTTGCCTTTTCTTATCAGCTTTGAAAATGTTGTGTTGATTCGCACAAAGCTGACTCGCTATATTTCTATTTTCGAAGAGAAATTCACTTCGATTTTTCACAAATATGTCTAGTGAAATTGAATTGATCAGCTCATGGAGATCGTTTAATGGCTATCAAAAGGTTTACAAGCATCAAAGGTAGGAATTTGATTTAAACTTTAAACTGTAAACTTTTCTACAAGATTAGATAGCTTTTTTTATAAAGAATTGTCAAGTGAATAAAGTATTTAGCCATGAAAACCAATGTGAGATGACATTTGGCGTCTATTTGCCTTGTGCAACACATCATACTGGACCTCGTCCGACACTCTTTTTCTTGTCCGGTAAATCTTTTTCGGCATTCAGTTTAATATCTAATAAAGTTTTTCAATTAAATGAAAACTATCTTCAAATGCAATTTTAGGTATCACTGCAACTCATGCGAACTTTATCGAGAAGTTCGGTCCACAGCGACTCGCTGACAAATATGGTTTCATCATCATTAATCCAGACACGTCACCAAGGGGAGATGATGTGCCCGATATGGATGGGCCCGACTTTGGAAAGGTAAAAACAGAAATCACAAAACACAAGGCATTCGTTTGATCACAAATCAAACGTCGACTTTGTGCTGTGCTAAATATATTTTACTGAAAGGAGTATTAAGAACCGATTTCTCACTAGATTATCAGCACGTAGGTGTAATAATATAATTTTTGTACAAATTACGGCCAAACGAGAAAGCCATTCGGTAATAGTGCTGTCGCTAAGAAATTCGAATTAGATGCTAGCTTGGTTCTAAGATGGAAACAAGACCAAGCTATTCTAAAAGCAATGCTGAAGAACAAGAGAGCTAGTCGAGGAAAGCATGCCAAATATTTAGAAATGAATAGAGATCTAAAGACAGGGGTTCTAGATAAGCAAAAGAAGTTAAAAGTAAGCTCAAGGAAAATGAAAAAAAGATAAATTCATGCATCAGCACAAGGCATACCTTTAAAACAGCTAGGCTTAAACAAAGTTGAAACGTTTAGTTTAGGGTTTAGCAAAAGAAAGTTTAGGGTGCCGGTTTTTACCTTGATGCCACTGAAGAGCCATGGTCGAAAAACTATCGGATGTACTCGTATGTGACAAAAGAACTTCTTGACATTGTGAAAAAAGTATGTTCTTGAAACTTATGAAAGTACTGTACTTTCAGAATTTCCCCATTGATGAGGAGAAGATCGGGATTTTCGGGTTTTCTATGGGCGGACATGGAGCGATCACGATTGGATTGAAGGTTTGGAATCTAAATTTCAACTTTTCATCATTTTTTATTACTTCAACAACTAGAGTTGTTCTTTTCAGCACCCAGAAATCTTCAAGTCGATCTCCGCTTTTGCCCCGGTTTGTCATCCAGCGAAAAGCTTCTTCGGAAGACGGGTTTGTACTGGAAAAGAAATTTTGGTCGCAGAAAAAACACTAGTCAATACTTCTTGAATAAAAGCAAAAGAAAGATCTAAAGCCGGGATCGAATTTGCGTGTTCTCACTCTGGAAACGAACGCTGTACCACTCGACCACGGCTGTAATGAATTGGGTCCGCAAGGAGGTCGCTAAGACCCAAAAGACCCCATTTTCGGAGTCCTAGCAGAACTTTAGACACTTATAACTCTAGATTGGCATTTAGCAAAAACGGAATACATTTTCGGAATCAGCATAAAATTCTGCGCCGAATGGTATAGGTTACATTGAATTTGGCTCAGCCAGTTGACCATCCCTTGTAAGTTTCATAGCCAATCTGTAATTCATAACCATAGCGTTTAGCCGGCTCAGCCAGTTGCCAGCTGTCCAGTAAAAATTAGATCATTTCTATTTCTAGAATTACTATAGAATGAAATGTTTAAGCTTGTTATTCAAGTTTGTTATTCAAATTTGTAATCCTTTTTCAGCTCTTTGCTCGTTATTTGGGCACTGATGAGGCAACTTGGGCTGATTACGATTCTTCCATGCTTGCTGCCAGGTAGTGTAGCTTTACCGCTAACCTATTCTGATTAAAGAAAGCAATTTCTTTAAGAAAAATCTAGAACATTTGTTAACATTCTGCTTATTTAGATACACTGGACCTAAACGAGTCATACGAGTTGACATCGGAGCCATTGATCCGTTTTTGGTGAAAAAGGAACTTCAGCCAGAATCCATTCAAAACAACGAGCATTTAGAAGTATTTTTTAAGCTTAAAAGATTTGGAAAACAGTCAGAATTAGGCATAAAAATGTTTGGAAGATTTTGATTAAAGAAAAAGTCTTTAAATTGAATTGGTTCAAAGATTCGAAGCTGGTAATTAAAGAAAACTTTGTTAGACCTTTGATCTTTCCCTGTGAAATTCGTTTTAAGATTTTCATAACAAAGAAAGCTAATCCGGAATCAGAATCAAATACTTTGACAGAAAAAAAAAATACTTTAAATTCCAGGTGGATTACCATTGCCAACCCGATTACGATCACTCACATTGGTTTGTCGCCTCGTTCATCGAGAAACATTTCGAGCATCACGCAAAAGAGCTCGGTGTTTGAAAAGTTTAAAAATCTTTTTGTAAATGCTTGTGCTTTTGTTCTTAACTTATGAAAACCATTTTTTATTTCCATTTTTAGTTCAATAAACTTTTGGTTTAAGACACTGTAACTAAAATTTCCAAAACCAAGCCAAAACGACATTGACTTTGACCAAAACGACATTGACTACTGTAGTCAAATATGATCAAGCTTCTGACTTTTCTGCTTATAAGATTTATGGGATATGTGTCTGCAATTAGATCTGCAAAAAGCAGAAAAAGATTTATTTCAACTGACGCCACCAATAGTCATTCTTGAATCCACCACAAAACTCGGCTTTAGTTCTGAAGAAAGTATGCCGTCCAATGACAATGACAATGTCCAATGACGTCCAATGATCACAGTTTCTTTTCCATTCGGAAATCCATGTCTCAATGTCTTGTCTTGGATTGTAATAATGATTGGTGCCTTGTGTTGGATCGTTTCCCTGAGCCGCTTGCTTGATTTCCTTGGTGAGTTGAAGGATTGCCTGATACGAGCGACGGGATTTTCCCATTATCCAGTTTCCAACACTCAAACTGAAAGCTTCCATCGGAATTTTGAGGCAAACAGACATCCTTGATCGTCTTAGATTGTGATAATGATTGGTGCCTTGTGTTGGATCGTTTCCCTGAGCCGATTTCCCTGGTGAGTTGAAAGATTGCCTGATACGAGCGACGAGATTTTCCCATTCTTGACTCTTATCCGGTTTTCAACACTCAAACTGAAAGCTTCCATCGGAATTTTGATGCAAGCAGATATTCCTTGATCCTTGACTCGTTTCAATAAGACGTAAAATGGGAAATGAGTACTTTATGGACGAAGTTTAAAAAGCGATTTTTGTTCAGAAATACTGAACTGATTTTGAATTTTTTTGTATTCTGTAGATTCAAATCTTATCTAACATCTATCTAATAATTTTTTATGTTTTACTTGTGTAAAAACTCAAAACCACTTAAAAGTTCGAAACTACACACAAAAAAACTCAATTATCAAGCTATTGGGTTGGGGAGAATGAGTCGGCGCCGAACTTTAAAGGGACTTTTTGCACACATAAAGCCTTCTTTAAACATACGTTTGGTTTCATCAAAAGGATCCACTATTTCTCTACAAAATCACTTTTGAGAGATTCCACAAAGCTTTTCTTTCGTGGAGTTTATGAACTTCCAAACGCAGCTGGTTAAAATGGCAAAGAGTCCGACTCATCATTTGAACAGTTTCTTTCACATAAACCTTCTTTGGTGTTTATATAAAAAAGATAGAGCACATTCAATTACTTAAGTTGCCAAATTTGCAGGAAGATCCCACCGATGGTTTTTTTCTAGATCACAGTTTGTAGTTTTTGTGAAAAAATGGCTTTTTTTTGAGCGGAGGCGCTGTTTGAATTTTCTTTTAAATGTGATTTTGTAGAGAATTAGTTAACCATTCTACTCATATCAAACGCATATTATTTGACGAAGTCGAATAGAAGTTTTAGAGATTTTTTTTGATTTTCGGCGCCGACTCATTCTCCCCAACCCAATAGAAGAGCTAAAATAGTAAAGCCACCCATTTTCGAAATAGGGAACTTCCTTACGAACTCATTCTTTAGATAGGAACATTGCCTACCATTATAGCTCATTTATAGCTCATTTATAGCTCATTAAATCGTTTTTTACATCAGCTACAATTTTCTTTTCAACCATTTTAGGCGTTTACATTAAAATTTTTGGTTTATAGACTCTTTTGTGGAAATGGAGATTCTTCCAAAAAACAACTTTTTTTTCTCAAACCCTTATAAACAAAGTTTCACGCAATTTTCAGAAACCTTCTGTAACTTAAAAATATTTTGATGTATCTAGCTTTGAATTGAAAAAAAGAAGACAAAAATCGGTTGAGTAGTTCTCGAGGAATCTAATCCCGAACTTGTCTAGTCAGAGAAACGGCGGTTAATTATGCATCAACCCAATAATTGCAGAAAAAGATAAAGTTTTGGAAAGGGTTTTGCTTCGAAAAGGTTTTAATCGTTAATTCCAGTGGAATGCAAACAACAAGATAAGGAAAATTACAAAAAAAGTCTAAAAGTTCTTGTTTTTCGCCATTCGTTCCATTTGGATGGCGGTGGAGAAGCCCTTGGACGGCATCTTGCAAACGAAGCGAGCGTATAGATTGGCCACACCACCACCTGCCCAACTTTGGACACTACAACTTTGGTCGTTCCCCATCTGTCATCAAAATGAAACTCTTTCTCTCTATTCACCCGTGGCTAAATTACCATAGCGTGATACACTTGACTAAAAGTATGCGTGAGCGACAAATAATCAACGTCCGACCCATCCGTCCAATTCCCAGTCCACAGTGTCCCGTTTCCAGTGTATCCAATCCATGCCCATTGTTTGGAACACGGGTCTCGTGATGACATTTCCATCATTGATCCCACGTGTGAACTGACCAAATCTAAATTGAAGGGATGGAAAACGAGAGTTATGAAACTCTTCAACCGATCAGCTTTGAGCAATTATTTCTAAAATGATTCTAAAATGATCCTGAATTATGAAACGAATGGTTATTGATGAATTAAAAGAAGAAAGTGAAGAGAGTACTCCGAGTGTTATACATCATTTGAAAGCTCTTAATGAATACTACAAAATAGAATAGCTAAATCAACAATTTATGCCAATCTTGGAAACATTTAAGGACCTGAACCGAGGTAATTTTTAAACATAGCAATTTTGGACATTTTTAACTGTATTTTTGTTCTGTACAGATTCTTTTTTGAACATTTTAACAAAATTATTGAAAGTTTTAGGTTTAATCTGTTAAAAACTATTTTTCAACATTTGAATGTCTCTCTCAAAACACACTAGCTTCCGATATTTACGTTTTTTCAGTTTCTATCAGAACTTTTGCTTAAGTGTATGTGCTAATTGGTGAGGTTTTTATTCCTGTATTTAATGATTTAAGACAGATATAATCCTTACAATAACTGGCCTAGTTGATCGTAAAATAGCAGATCATCTTTTTCAGGAGTGTCACGTTCAGGTCCTTAAATTTTACCAAGATTAGCACAAATTGTTGAATTTAGATATTCTATTTTGTAGTATTCATTAAGAGCTTTCAAATGATGTGTAACACTCGAAGTACGCTCTTCATTCTCTTCTTTTAATTCATCAATAAGTATTCGTTTCATAATTTTGCCGCATCTTGGATTTCAGCACTCTTTAAGACCTTTCAACGACTAGTTTATCATTGTTTTCTTGCTAAATTTTCGGTGAAATTTAACTTGAGAGAACTCTCCCCTAAAAGGCTCTTATCTAATTCTTCTAGCGTCTAAAACTAACTTGCAACAAAGGTGTTTTCTCCGGGCGAATGTATGGACGCAAGATGGGAATTCGGGCCCGATTCTTGGCATTCCAATTCGGCTGTCGAGAAGTTGTAGAGCCTCCAGTTCTCACCACCCGTATATTCAATATTCTAGAGATTTAACACTTCATTGGGCACACCCTAGTCTTTATATAATCAGAAAAGAAAACTCACTTGCAAGTAGTAGCAATAGTCCGTGTCACGGTTGTACACCCAGTTGTAAGGACAGGAGAACTCTAGAAGCGAAAATTCGATTCAAAATCATCAGAATCGACAATACTGGATCATATTCCGATTGCATAATTTAACTTTGAAATTGCTAACTTTGAGTGAATGAAGTTATGTAAATTTCATTAATTCAAGTAAAATTCAAACAAAGAGGAGGACAGAAACAAACAAACAAAAATAACTTTTAATACCTTTTCCTGATGTCCTGATTCTTCATTCATAGTTGGGCTCGTTCCTGCAGGGCCAGCGCAAAGTTGTTTGTCCAGAGACGAGAACCACCATTGCCAGGACGTAAATCAAGCAAAAAAGAAGGGTCTTCTGCGACAGCATTTCTCTAAATGATACTGTACAAGTTGTACAATGACTCAAAAGGCGCCAAGCTCAAACCCACCGAACCCGAGACAGTTTACATACATATCAAGATTTAAAATCCTTCTCAAAACTCTGTAATACATTGCTCCGAACAGCTCTTGAGCTTTTTAAAATAAGTTTTCATTAACTAGCGTTCCCGTTCTTTGATTTCTGAACCCAGTTCTTTGATTTCTAAAAAACCAAATTTTTTGTGGTGTCTGTTGACTCAAAAGTGAAACCAAATTAAAGAGGGAATCGTTTGGCGTTGAATCAATCGTCTTTGTTGTCAACTTTGTCGTCAAACAACAAATTTCTTTTCATTTTGTTGTGGCTATGCTCATTTTTGCCCCTTTTCATTGAATCAAATGGCTGTATAAAAACGAGCACAGTGGCCCTTCTAACAACCACTTTTACAGAATGTTTTTATAAATTGATTTAATAAAGTTAAAATTTTGATTTTCTTACTTTGTTAGCTAAGTTTAGAGAAATTCATTAAGTTCTATATAAAAGTACATTTTGCACAAATTCTTTGTAGTCAGGGTTGTTCATAGACCTTTTCTAAAACCTGACCTTTCTAATCGATTGTTGAAAAAAAGCGAAATTTTAAAACCAGCCAGCTTTCCACTGGCTTTGTCTGGCTTTAATATATGGCTTTTTTGAAAAAATCTTGCTTGTAATCAAAGGAAAAACTCTTAATTCTCGCCTTTTGAGTCATTGTACAACTGTATCATTTAGAGAAATGTTGTCGCAGAAAACTCTCCTTGTTTGCTTGATTTACGTCTTGGCAATGGTGGTTCTCGTCTCTGGAGAGGGTGTTCGTTTCATTTTTCTTTACTTTTTAATGTTGGACAAAAGAGATTTTGCTAGCAAATTTAGTTTTCTTAGAATATTAGCTGTTTTTAGCTTCGTTAGAAATAAGTTTAGTCAAGTTTTTCCAAATCTCTCCAAAAAAAGGAAACAATAGCCAATTCGATTGGCTTTAACTTGGGAAAATGGGTCGAGAATAGTTTAGTCTGTTTGAAATTTCAAAACCCGATTAAGGCTTATCGTAATCCCAAAACAGTAGAAAGTTCTTAAAAGAAAATTTCTCAATAAAACTTCCTCAAGTGCGCGTGCTTTTGCGTAAGAATTTGGAAATGAAAGATTGATATTTTTAAATACTGTAAATACTGTAATACGTAGTCGCAAAAGCTTTTTAGTATTTCATTTTTTGCAAAGCACCCGTGCTTTCAAAAAATGCGTCTTTGGTATCAAAAAATAGCTGAAATTCAGGGCTATTTTTTGATACCTAAACGAGCATTGTAGCATAAACCAGCGTCGAGAAAAACTCGTTCAGAGCTAGACTACGCAACACTCCGCACCGTCATTATGCGGGTGGGGTACTATTACAGTATTTACGGTAGGTAGTTAGAGTTATATTATGCAATTAGCATTATCATTCTCGATTTATGTTTGATATGTTAACACAAAAGCCATTTTCAGTGCCGCGAATGTCTCAATCGCGTTTGCGGTCCTCCCTGTCGTTCTTCGGGCTCGGCTTGCTCGAATTGCTTCAACATTGACGCGCCTCGTCAATGCCCGTGCTAAAAATGGAAAATGAATCGCTAAAATAAAGATTCCTGCATGAATTTCGAGATTCTTTTCAAATCAGCAAGATTTTATTGTCGCATCATTTCCCAGTACACTTTATTAGTACAAATTTCATTGCATACAATAATTTTTAGTCCAGATTTCGAAAATCTACTATCGAGATTTGATTGAAATAGAAAATCACATAGAATGAGCAACCGGGGATGCAATGAAATGACAACGTACATGGGATCCATTTGACATGGATTGCGACTTTCAGTCTAACGGCCCCAGCTCCTCGAGGCTATTCCCAATCAATTTTCGATCAAGAAATTATATTTATTTAAATTTCAGGCTACAAAACTGTCTAAAAAGTTTTTTGAAAAAATTCAAGAGACTCGAGATTTTTGCATTTTAGTGAAAAAATTTTGATAAAGAGTTTTTAGGCATCAAAATTTTACAAAACTAACGTTATAACTTTCAGAAAATAAAGGAAATTTGACTAGGGAGCAGACTAACATAAAAAACGGAACGGCTATCCATCTAGCTTTCGAGATTTTCGGAATCGTTTGGGGATCGTATTGGAACCGTATTGGAACCGCATTGGAATCGTATTGGAATCGTAATGGAACCGTATTGGAATCGTATTGGAACCGTATTGGAACCGTATTGGAATCGTATTGGAATCGTTTTGGGAATCGTGGTTGAACCGTATTGGAACCGTATTGGGAATAGTGGTTGAACCGTATTGGAATCGTATTGGAACCGTATTGGAACCGTATTGGAATCGTATTGGAACCGTATTGGAACCGTTTTGGGAATCGTGGTTGAACCGTATTGGGAACCGTATTTGGACCGTATTGGAACCGCATTGGAATCGTATTGGAATCGTAATGGAACCGTATTGGAATCGTATTGGAACCGTATTGGAACCGTATTGGAATCGTATTGGAATCGTTTTGGGAATCGTGGTTGAACCGTATTGGAACCGTATTGGGAATAGTGGTTGAACCGTATTGGAATCGTATTGGAACCGTATTGGAACCGTATTGGAATCGTATTGGAACCGTATTGGAACCGTTTTGGGAATCGTGGTTGAACCGTATTGGGAACCGTATTTGGACCGTATTGGAACCGCATTGGAATCGTATTGGAATCGTAATGGAACCGTATTGGAATCGTATTGGAACCGTGTTGGAACCGTATTGGAATCGTATTGGAACCGTTTTGGGAATCGTGGTTGAACCGTATTGGAACCATATTGGAACCGTTTTGGGAATCGTGGTTGAACCGTATTGGGAAACGTATTTGGACCGTATTGGAACAAAATAGGAACCGTATTGGAACCATATGGGCCACCACCATGAGACTTTTGCCATAAAATTAAAACTTTATATGGAATTTTAGAACACCCTGTATGTCAATTGGATTTATTGGATTGAATTGCTTTTTTTAAAAACGAACAGCTCTGTTTTTGTTTCAGCGAATCCAGCATTTAATGAAGCCTCTCTCCAACACTTTTGCCACACTCTATACATTCAATCGGCTCCCTAGAAACAAAGTTTTTAAAATATTGGATTGGGGAATAAGAAATGGTGGCGTCATCGGAGGTATTTTTTGAAGAAACTAAACCATAACTTTTTTCAAATTTTTTTTCTAATAACAATTGAAGTTTTGTTGATTATACGCCATCATTTAATCCCGATTTGATGCAATTTTTTTGAGAAATCGGGCTTTCTCGCAAGAGTTTACGCAAAATGTTTATTAATAAAGGAAATGGCAAAAATAGGAGACTAGTTCATTCACTCTTTTTTTGCATTCAAATGTTTCGAAAAGACTTATATAATGAATCAACTAGTGAAATGAAAAAGGCAAGAAAATTCGATTTTTGAGCATTTCTGTCTCTACATTGGCTTCAGAGTTAACGCGTTTGTCGAGAGCGATTTCACACGTTGAGTCTTTTTCAGCGGAAATCTGAAAATAATTGTCTTAAAAAAACACAAACACTTTAAATATCATCTATGTTTACAAACTTTCTCGCCAATATTCTCAACGCGGCCGCTTGAATGGGTTCGTTGAAGCAAAGATTGAGAAGCGGTTGGGCGATTGCGAGTCCCTGAAAGAAGAAGAGGGATTTTAGTTTTACAGAAATATTTTAGATTTGCTTTTTTGTACAGTTGAACCTCGTTGGTAGCTTATGAAGTGAATTCTGAGAACCTAGTCAGTGAAGCACTTTTCACTAGACCGTGTTTAGATCGTTTAGATTAAAGTGGTTTAGCTAAGTGTATCGGTTTCTCAAGGGGTTTAAAAGTCCAAACACCAACGAGATTTACTCTAAGATTTGATAAAAGGTTAAAAATATATAAATAAAAATAAAAACTCTTACCATAGTGGTCACCATGAGCAAAAGGGGGAAAACGACAGAAGTTGGATCGATCGAGATGAGTGACGGGAGAAAGTTGAACACAAAAAACAGCAGACCATTCCCGCCGGTGAACACGCAAATCAGAATACCCTGAAACAAAATATTTACATCAAAAGGCAAAAGGCAACCTGCACTAAAAGCACCATCTCGCCGCCACTTCTTCTCAGAAGTGATCCTTTGGCGGTTGCACCGATGCGACGAACGTATCGAACGTACACAAAAAGGAAAATGTTTCCGATGAGAATAGCGATTGGGTAAATGAGACGTTGAAAAGTGTCAAACTAAAGGGCTTTTTGTACAGATTGTTGAACTCTTTTCTTACCTGGAAACAAAAAATTATGGGCGCACCCTTTTGGTAATGTAGTTGTGGCCTAATTTTATTCAAAAGCACCAAGTGTTATATAGAGAAATGAAGCCCTGAATCTTGGCTGCATCTATCTACCGCGAAACTTACAAATTATAAAATTCGATTCAACTACGAAGCTAGCAAATGCGCTCTCTAGCCGGCCTTTCTTTTGACCACTGCCATTTTTAACGAATTTTTAACAGATTCTTGACTTTAGAATGACTTTTTAGCTAACAAACAAGAACATTTTAATCGAGTTTAAATTCGGATTTGCAGATTGGAAAAACTGTAGAAAAATTCTAGTTTCAAGAAAAAAGGATTAGAGGACTGCTGCTACGATGCTACGATAACTTTGCTTTGCTACGATATGAAACAACAGTAAAAGCGTCGGATCGTTTTGACAGAGATCATGGCCAAAATATATTAGGGGCAAGCCATTTGTTATATATTTGTTCAGGAAATTTGGCTGAAAATTGGGAGTTTTTCGTCACTTAGTTCGCAATTTTTCGTACTTCTTTCAGTGGTTCATACGTTATTAATTTATTAGTTATAAATTTAAAAGAAAATTACCTAGGGTTTAGTCAGAAAAAAGCTTTTTTTAGGTGAACTTTTTCAGTCAGGAAACTGTCGAAAATGGCCCCATGCCGCGAGCTCATTCAAATGAGCTGTAGGTCTTCGATTGGGAACTTTTTGACACAGAAGTATCGGCAAGAATCTAGGCTACAATATCCTATCTAACACTTGACACTTTTGAGTTGAAAGCGGCGTAGATAGCAAAGATACCAAACACTGTGTGCGGGTAATTACCGTATTCTCTCTAATAGTAGTGCACCCAAGCGAGCCGAGTTGGTGACGATTTCACGGCTTCCAAGCGTTCGTAGAAGCTCAAAACTCTAATCCCCCACTAGATCTCATCGTCAGCTACATTTTCCGACCACACATCGATAGGTTCTGATAAGCGGTTCTCGAGATTTTAGGCGACGATTTTAGGCGACGCTCTGGGTGCACTACTATTAGAGAGAATACGGTGTGCGCCACCCTGTACATTACCAAAAGGATGCACCCATAAATTTTTTTTCACCCCGTACATTGTGAAATTGAAAGCTAGCCGCTTGTGCTGGGGTGCATTCGTAGGAGAACGAAAGACTGTGAGCCCGAAACGCTTTATTGCAATCGGTGAATGTCTCGATGCAGGTCTCTCCAATTGCATCCATCCATATAGTGATGATTATTCTAAAGTCTTTTGGACTTTTGATTATTTATCTGAAAGCTAGTAGAACTTATAGATTTCGCTAAATAACTCAACCATTAGTCCGATAAAAAACGTCATTTTTCGTCTTTTTATCAAAACTTTTCACAAACTCACATTTTAAGTGAATTCCCGCTGAATAACTTGATGTTAAGCCTTGGAAAAATGAAAACCGAGACGCCATTTAGTGTCCCGAAAAAAACCAACAACATCGAGGCCTGAAAAGATTCTTTTAAAATAACAATTGAACTAAAGAAAGAAAGTTTCGATGGACTACAAATGGATTGGGCAGCAATCATGCCTGATGTCTGAGCGACGATCTGGCTTATCTCCATGCCTTGCAAAGTCTCCAAAAATTTGTAAACCCATCAAATCACTAACCGGGCGATTTTTATTCTTTTTATATTAAAATTAGCAATATTAAAATATAAAAACAGGTGAATGCCTTAAGAAAATTTTTTTTTATGGTTATCCGATCCGATTAAGCGATTAATACCCTCTCTTTAATTGTTCTTATGGTTATTATTTTTTTTTATGGTTATTAAAATAAGTTTCATTGAAAGAAACGGTCGAGATCGCATCATTTGACCTTGTCGTTTTTGAACACTCGGCTTCTTGCTAATGATCAACCTTCAAAACAAAGCTTTTCAGAAACTTTCAGAAAATTTTTTATGGTTATCCGATTAAGCGATTAATACCCTCTCTTTAAGGGGTGCACCACTTAAGGTTATTAGAGAATTCTCTGTTTTAGCGAATCTGTGTCTGTGTTTTAGAGAATTACTCTATTACTATATTACTTTATTATTAGGTTGGCAAGTTATAAACGATCGTTTTTTGGAACCGCATTGGAATCGTATTGGAATCGTATTGGAATCGTTTTGGGAATCGTGGTTGAACCGTATTGGAACCGTATTGGAATCGTATTGGAACCGCATTGGAATCGTATTGGAACCGCATTGGAATCGTATTGGAACCGCATTGGAATCGTATTGGAATCGTATTGGAACCGTATTGGAACTATTGGAATTGATACCCTCTCTTTAAGGGGTGCACCACTTAAGGTTATTAGAGAATTGTCTGTTTTAGAGAATCTGTGTCTGTGTTTTAGAGAATTACTCTATTACTATATTCCTTTATTATTTATAAAGTTATAAACGATATAAACGGCAAGTTATAAACGATCGTTTTTGGGTAATGTGTTTTCTGACAAAAACGGCTTAACTGCATTTTGAGCCTAATTTGAAAATCAACCTTCCGAAGATTGGATTGTTCTGAAATTTTGGAAAACTATGTAATCGATGAAGCGTTTCATTTTAAAAAGTATGCAATCAATCAAAAATATATTAGCTCATGAATGCTAGAAAGCCATTTTGTAAGATTAAGAATAGGGCTTTTGAATGAAGCAAACCGTTTTTTGATTGGATAAGCCGTTTTTTCAGAAAACACATTACCAAAAAACGATCGTTTATAACTTGCCAATCTAATATTATGGCTCTATTAAAGGTTTTACGGTAGATTTTGTGGCTATCATTTGACCATTTACCTTGAAACTGACATACTCGTAGGCGACAGCTGACCGATACAACAAATAGAAAGGAGTACCGTTGTAAAACTGAAGGTGATCTGTTTATGACAATGACCAAAGTGATTCTTACATCAACGCCTGTGATTGTGATTGGTAAGGTGAGAATCAAGTGCATTAAACCCTGCAAAAAATTGTTTCTTATCGAAAAGTTGAGTTACTTGAAAAATGTTGACGAGACAATGGTTGAGATGGAAACGGTAGACAGCACTTTGCGAATGAGGAACATACTGAAAATATTGGGCTGGCGAGAATGAAATTGTGCCGAACTTTAAAGCCACTTTTTGCACGCATAAAGCTTTTTTTAAATACACGTTTTGTTTCATCAAAAGCGTCCACTATTTCCCTACAAAATGACTTTTGAGAGACTCCGAAAAGCTTTTGTTTTATGGAGTTTATACTCCCAAACAAAACTAGTCAAAATGGCAGAGTCCGACTCATCAATCGTCAAAGAGTTTGACCAGTTTCTTCCGCATAAACCTTCTTTGGCGTCTATATAAAAAGATACAACACACTCAATTAAATAAGTTCCAAAATTTTCAGGCAGATCCATCCAACCGAGTTCTCTAGATGACAGTTTATAGATTTTATGTAAAAATGGCCTTTTGTGAAGCTGAGGCGCTGTTTGAGTTCTTTTTTAAATGTCATTTTGTAGAGAATTAGTTAACCTTTCTATTGATATCTAACGCCTATCATTTGACGAAGTTTTGGAAGTTTTGGAAGTTTTGGAAAGTTCTTGATTTTCTCTCCAACCCAATAAAATAGCTGATACCAAATGGTATTTAGCTCCGCTGATGTTCCAAATAAATATTTGTATTTCTAGCACGAAATGTTTTATCCAAAAGGTTACGTGGTCACCAAGTAACAGTTGATTTTTTTAAATTACGAAATGCGGCGAAAGTTCTGCCTTTAAAAAGAGAAAGAAAAATTCTCTTTAATTGAATTCTCTGTGATTATTTTATAAGTGTTTATAGCCAAAAGATAGCCAATTTTTCACAGAATTTAAATCTTATTACAGTTTTAAAATAAGGTCCTTAGATTTAGAGTCATCACAATTTGCTTGAGCTCTGATCGGACCAGTTATTAGTATTACCAGAGAAAATCTGAACTCAGACGATTAGGAGTATTCAAAAAATTGTTTGTTAGTTCAAAACTGGAAATCCAACAACAGCTTTTGACAAGTTTGTAATTTTTATGAAAACTTTTGCAATGAAAAAGCTCAAAATATGTGCGAGCATAGATATTCTTTTCGAAGGGCATAGAATAGTGATAACTCTAAGTCTAAAGATCTTATTTAAAAACTGTAATAAGATTTAAATTCTGTGGAAAATTGGCTATCTTTCGGCTATAAACACTTATGAAATAATAACAACCAGGAGCTTTTAGAGAGAATTCTAAAAATGACAGAACTTTTGCCTGTAATTTAGTCTTAGCTTCCAAAATCTGCATTTAAAATAGCGAATCAAGCAATTTGGGGAACCGACAAGTATTGGAAAATTGTCTTTGGAATAACCCTGATCTGGTAACAGACCTAAAGATGAAATTGTTTGGATCAAGACTATAGCTCAATGCAAAACTAGCGATAACTCTAAATCTAAGGGCCTTATTTTAAAACTGAAAAAAGATTTAAATTCTGCAAAAAATTGGCTATCTTTTGGCTATCAACCCTTATCAAATAATAGCAACCAGAAGCTTTTAAAGAGATTTTAAAAATGACAGAACTTTCGCCATAGTTTGTATGAGTCTGTTTTACTCAAATCACGTTTTATCTGTGATACTGCTTGAGAAAAGACAAAAGCTTAAAGGAGGTTTATTTGAAAGAAACTGTTCAAACTCTTTGCCATTTCGATTCATTTCAATTTTGACTAGCTGTGTTTGGGAGTCCATAAACTTCACAAAACAAAAGCTTTTGTCTTTTCTCAGTGAAGTGAAACCTTATTTTCACCTACTAAAAAGATTGAGCAGACGACGAGGATATTCGAAGAGAAAAGGATCACCTCAAGGGGCAAATAGATAAGAAATGCGAGTAAACGTTCCGGATAAGGGATCTGTAAATGATTGATTGCATTCAATTCAAATTCATTCAATAAGTTAACAGCTTCGTAGACATAGCAATCTATGACATTTAAAGGGTTTAAAAAGTTCAAAAGTTGTTTGAGTAGAGTAGTTCAAAACTTGAAAAAGAAGCCTGTTTCTGATCTTCAGACAGTTTGAGTACACTTTCTCAACTTAAACAAGCGCTTTAAACTTTATGAATCCTTGAAATCAACCAAAAGCTATCATCTCTCAACTCACCGGACTCAAAACCATTAGTTCTGTCATTGTTGCCGTGAATCACAACTTCACCAATGCGTTAATTTCATAGAATTCTGCAAGACCTTCAAAACTAATTCACAATCAATGAAAACGATCTTTTTGTTATATGAAAAAGATTAAAAATGAATCGAAACGAATCCCGGGAGACTGAAATTTCACCTATGATTCGATGTTTTTTTGCTCAAAGACTCAAAAATTTAACCAAAACGTGTTCACTTGAAAGTGAGCGCTGATAAATAGTGTTCGAATTTGTAAAATTAGTGATTCCAAGAATTTTTGATGACCTCCATTTAGCGTTTAACTTTTAGATAACAAAAATCTTAAAAAATCATACATGATTCTATCCAAAAATACACCAAAAAAACCAATTAGTCTTTCTAAAGTACCTATTATTTAAAGAAAATGCAAAGAAACATTTCTTTTTCGTCAGCATTTGTTTGCTTTCATTGACTCAATTAGTTTTAATTGATGCTTGTGCAATTGTACATTCAAAGGGAGAAGTTTTCTTTTAAAGCTGACAAAATCCATCAGTACTTCATTACCAAATGTTAACCAGCAGTAGTTATAAATGGAAATGTTAACTTGAAACATTGACATTTACATTGAAAACTTGAGCTAGAACTAATCAGCGCTGAAAACGCTCAATTCGTGCGTTTTCCCGTTCTCAACAAGCTGATTTCAATGATACTCATGTAAAATGATGCCCTCGATAAAATACTTACAATTTTTTTTGAAGAAGAGGTGAGTAAAGATTAAAGAAACAGTGGGTGACACGATGATAGCCTTAGCTCTACTTTTTGCGCTTTACGACAGCCCAGAGCATCTCAAAAACCGATCTTATATCTCTTTAGCCTTTCAATTGTCTATCGCTTCTGTATTTTTAAAAAAAACTTTTTATGTAAGCTCTTAGCTCTTATCTCAAACAAGCTGATTCTGTTCAGTTTAGCTAAATGTCATTTAATTTATGATAAAAGCCAACGATACTCACAAGGGAAGGTCAACTGGATGTGCTGGCCAAATGACAGGAGCCATTCGACGCAGAATTTCACGCTAATCATGGTGCGGCTTCCCTTTTTCGCTACGGAGCACTCTGTCAAAAGATATACGCGTTTAAAGTCTTGTAAAAAGTTTAAGAAACCTAGTTTCAAAAATCAAACCGCGACATGACAACCCTGTCTTCCGTCAGCTCAGCACTTACAGCGGTGGCCGAATAGTAGTGAGTTAGGACGCAAGGATCTAGAGAATAGAGGACTCTCTGGTTCAGATCCGGTAGCTGACTCCCTTTTTTCCTTTTTTAGGTTTCTTAAACTCCTTACAAGACTTTAAACGCGTATATCTTTTGGCAGAGTGCTCCGTAGCAAAAAAGAGAAGCAGCATCATGATTAGCGTGAAATTCTGCATCGAATGGCTCATTTGATTTAGCCAGTACATCCATTTGACCTTCCCTTATCAGTCAAACGAAGAGCACAAGGAGTGCGGCTGGTGATCCAATCAATTTTTTTGCCGTTGAGCACTGAAACCCGGAAATTTCTCTCAAATGTACTGCCAGTGAGAAACGAGAACAGTTTTTTTGGTAAACTCGAGTCACTTTTTTATTTGAAATGCCGATCAAAAGGATCGACAAACGAAAAATCTTATCTCTTTTTCAAAGTGAACTTTTAACTGAACGCACCCGAGAGATCATTTGTTCATCCGATCCGATTTGTTCATCGGAGGGCACAAGGAGTGCGGCTGGTGATCCAATCAATTTTTCCCGTTGTTCATCGCAGACATCATGTTTATTTGGCTGTTGGCTTTAGTTTTTTCGACCGATGCCGAGCCGAAACCTCAAGGCGGTATCTCCGGGCACCTGATGAACACTCTGCAAAACATTCACTCGAACTCGAAGCAGCACATCAAGATTGAGATCGACACGGAGAACACCAAAGATGTACATACAGAGGTGAGGTGGCTGAGAGAAGCAAATGATCAGCAAATTATCAGCAATTTTTTAAAATCAATTTGTGAGTAGACTTTTTTCTTCTTCAGATCACCTATCTCGATTTCACAAACCTACCCGCCAGTGTTCTCTCCATTCTCGGCTCTCACAAAAACGACTTTGTGACCTTTGGAAAAAGGTCAGTCAAATTCAAAGTCAAATTTCATTTTCTTTTGAGTTTCTTAAAGTTTTTATCATAGACTAGCTTGTATTTAGTCTGTACTTAGGCTTTATGAAATCTGACTTTATGAAGAAAGCTAGTACCCGGGGATTTTCGGGATCGGTGGATCGATTGGAGATGTTTATAAGAAAATTGCTCTCACTAGTCAGCCATCTAGCCATCTATCAACTAGCTGGTCTATGATAAAATCGTTAAGTAATTCAAAAGACCACAGAACTTGTAAAGAATTTAGAATAAAATTTAGATACACGAAAAAGATCAACAGATCAAATGGGGACAAAGCAGCAACGAATTTCGTCTCGAACAATGACTATTTGAAGGAGTTGCTCAATAAAAAGCTCTACTATAAAGTCGGAATGCATCCCTATATGGACCTCGATGAGCAAGAGACTTTAGCTGTAAGTTGAGATAAAGGATGGTCGCAAGTCATCGTCTCTTAGTTTTTGGACCATATCTTGGCTGTAGCTTCGCGAAACGGTTTAATTTCTTTTTTATATGAAAATGGCGATGATTTTCTACAGAGAATTTCTTTATACAAATTGTAAGATGCTTTTGAGATTTTTATTAAAGGCTTGAAAGAGGCGCTCAAAACAATCCTTTCTACGCAACTCAATCTGCAGCTTTTCGTTTTAAGGGCTCTCACATGGTTTATTTAAATCTTTTCTAGTTAAAAAGCTCAAAACAAATGTTTTTTCAACAAAAATCTTCAACCATGTGGTGTTTTTATGAGCTCTGGGCTCTGGTTTTTATGAGCTTACGAGACTGTCTTAAGCTGCGACACTGTCGTAAGTCCTTACGACACCATTTCACCACCATTTTACGACACTGTCGTAACTTTATGACACCATTTCCTCACCACACTGTCGTAACTTTACGACATCTCTCAATGTAAACATTCTTACGACACCTCAAAGGCTCAACACCTTATTTTTCTTCTAGCTTAAAATAGTAGCGTTTTCCCGTTACGACACCCGCTAATAGTAGCCTTTGAGGTGTCGTAAGAATGTTTACATTGAGAGATGTCGTAAAGTTACGACAGTGTCATAAGTGGTGATGAAATGGTGTCATAAAGTTACGACAGTGTCGTAAAATGGTGGTGAAATGGTGTCGTAAGGACTTACGACAGTGTAGCAGCTTAAGACAGTCTCGTAAGTGGCCCAGAGCTCATAGTCCAAAAGCTACGAGGCGATAATTTGCGGCCACCTTGTAATTAAATTGAGTTAACAACTTTTTCAGACCCTAATCCCATTGAAGGACAAACCACCAAGACACAAGAGAGACACGAATCAGACGGACTCTAGCCTTCCTAAAAGGAGTTTACAGGTGAATGGCTCTGGCGTTTGTTTATAAAAAACAATAAAAATAACGTTTCAGCTTGATGCTTTGAAGCCAGCTAAACGCTATGTCAAGAAACAAAAAAATACGAGAAAACGGAGAGATGATGATGAGGTAAGCAGTGATTTAGGCTCAAACTTGTAACGAAAACATCTGTCCGTTCTTTTTTGCCGTTGACAATTGAAGGTTTTTCATCCTTTTCTCAGCACAAACCCTTCAAGTTTGCCTAAGTTTGACCATCATTCGATGCAGAATAAAATTGCGCGTCGAATGATACCAAAACTAACTCAAAATGTAATATCAATTCAAAGTTATAAGGCAAAAGGCTAAGTTCCGTCCTTAATTGGCGGGGTCTAGGTTTTTATCCAACAACTTTACGTAGATATTACAATCTGAGTTGGTTTTGGTATCATTCGACGCGCAATTTTATTCTGCATCGAATGATGGTCAAACTTAGGCAAACTTGAAGGGTTTGTGCTGAGAAAAACATGAAAAACCTTAGATTCCCAACGGCAAAAAAGAATCGACAGTTTTCGTTAGCTCATGCCTTTGCATTTCTTTCAGTTATTAACCAGTTTATCCAAAAAATTACTCAACCTTTCAGGAGCTCCCTGAATCTTTCGATTGGAGAGACAAAGATGTGGTGCCAGAGGTGAAAAATCAAGGAGACTGTGGCGTTTTCTGTTGGAGTTTTGAGAGTTTCAATCTAATACAATAAATATTAAATAAAGCGTATTCACTTTCATTCTCAACAAACATCTATGTGTACGCAAGTTTTCCCAAATTTTTAGCGCCGCAGCTTGCATGGAGATTCAGTATGCTCGCGAGAACAACGAGATCGTCGATTTATCTGAACAGGTAACGTTACTAAATTCACTATTTCGTTTGCTATTCAATTTTTGGCGTTTTTAGCAAATGACTTGTGTCTATCCGAACAAACGAACGATCTGCAAGGGCGGCTTTCCGAGTGTCGCTTTCAAGTGAGTTTTTACAAGCTTCAACACTTTATTTTAAGTCTATTTTTAACATTTACTCATTAGTTAGCCTTTAAACAAGTTGAAATTGAATCTTTAATAAATGGAACCTTTCCATTTATTAAAGATTTCCAAATAAAGCTTCCTATTTAGTCACTACATGAGCAAAGGTATCGGCCTGAAGACCGAATCTCCATACAATCCAACAGGTGACCTCAGCTGTTACTCGGTCAGTTTTTTTTGCAACCTATTTTGATCCAATACGGTTCCAATACGGTTCTTATTTTGATCCAATACGGTTCCTATTTTGATCTAATACGGCTCCAATACGGTTCCTATTTTAATCCAATACGGTTCCAATACGGTTCCTATTTTGATCCAATACGGTTCCTATTTTGATCCAATACGGTTCCTATTTTGATCCAGCCAGCTTACCATCAAACATTTTTCAGTTTAAACAGCGATTATCGGTCTCATCAGTCACCGATCTGTTACCTTTTGATATGGACACTGTGAAGAGAGCCATTGTTAATGATGGACCCATTCAGTCAGTAAATTCAGTGGTCAGTAAATTTAGAGACACTAAAATATCAAAAAAACAAAGTTTATGAGCTAAAAAAGAGGATGAAATGATTTCAGGGATTTACATAAACTGGAATTTCATGTACTACGATGGAGGGATTTTCGATACAAGTTGCGAGGATTTGTCCGGATTGGGAGGACATGCGATGGTCATAACGGGATACGGTAGGTAAACCTCAAAATCATAAATAAGCAGAGTTTTATGAATTTTCTGTGAGATTTTTCCCGTAAACGATGAAAAGGAGATCGTAAGACATCTTTCTGATAGATTTGATGCAAAAATCTCCCAATCGGCTTTCAATATCACTTCAAAAACCCCAAAACTAGGTCGTGTGCCAGGCTAAGTGTGACTCCCAACTTTGAGAGCTTTTTTAAAAAAATTATGAGCTCCTATTGGTTAGATAATGGACGCCACTATAGGAGAATCACTCAAAATTTACTTGGAAAATTTTTGTGGAAATCGGTTAGCTTTTGACTGAGCTACAGTCTTCAGAGGGATTATGGGGCTCCTGTATACTTGAGCTTTTGGGAAGCTTTTGGTAATTTTTGTGGAAATCGGTTATTGTTAAAAATGTTTGACCGGAGGTGGATTTAAACCCTTGACCTCTCGCTCTCAGCGAGTGCGAGATGCGAGCGCGCTGATCACTCGGCCATTGCGCGCCGCGCGGAGAGACTGACATTTCGGAATTATCTATGTTAGATAAGATAAAGTATGACTTTCAGGAGTGGAGGACGACTACCCGTACTGGATCGTGAGAAACTCGTGGGGCACAAGTTGGGGAGAAGATGGCTATGCTAGGGTAATTGAAAGTCTTTTAAGTATTCAAGAGTTAGCCGATGAAATTTTACCCGTAAACTCTAGCTACTTTATTTCCAGATATGGGCCGGTCAAGATCTTTGCTCGGTCGAGTCCTACTTCATGGATCAAGCTCAAATTTATAATGATGGAGCTGATATGAACTGAATCTGAAGATTTATCGCTAAATTTTCTATATCTTGCACAATACGATTCAAATTTGTACGAAAACGAATAAAGAAAACAAATAATGCTTTTGTTTTTGTGAAATCATTTATGAGAGCATTTCTGCACTTAAAACATCCTGATCAGAGCCACCTAGCCCTCCAAAGAATTATTGTAGTGCGCTGGAGGCAAACTGCCATAGTGCTCACCTATTTGAACCTGTTTTCAATTGAAAAACCCTTCAAAAAGCCTATTTAAAGTTACACTTTTGTTTTAAACAATAAATAACAATTCAATTGTTATTTGAAAAGAATCTCTCGTTAAAATAAAATAAAATCTTCTTCAAAAACATGCGAAACTGCGTTTGTCTCATAGGCGATTTGCCTCGAATGCAGCCTTCTTGAAAAGGCTTTCTTGAAAAGGCTTTCTTGAAAAGGCTTTCTTGAAAAGGCTTTCTTGAAAAGGCTTTCTTGAAAAGGCCTTCTTGAAAAGGCTAGAAATTTCTGATTGGAATGATTTACTTATAGAAATGTTCATCAGAATGTGGTTTTTTTTCCCTATGAAACTTTGATTAAATTTTTAAAATATTGATTATTCTAAGGTAAATTTTCGCGTAGATTCCGAATCTTAGTTTCAGAGCGATTCAAGCACTCTTTCATAAAGAAAAACAGCTTTGAAAATCAAAAATTTTGAGTATCTCATCTTGTGCACGCTGAAATGCGTCAAAAAATACGGTATTTCTAAATATTAATATTACCATTGTGTAGCCCTTGAAAAGAGCTTTCTGAAAATGTATAACACTAATAGTTTAAACTCAAAAGCAAGGGAGTTACAGACGCACGAAAGTGACGATCGTTTTTCAAATATGATATTTCATTGTCCAGTACTGTACTTATACATTGCTGGACATAGTTACGAGCCTTACGAGCTTCCCATTTTTCAGCAACTTTTTAAAGTAAAACAAAATCCCATCAATAATTATATTTAAAATAGTATTTATAGTTATAATTGATGTAAGAAGATAGGAGAAAACCATCAAGTTCAATTCTTTAAATATATTAAAAAACCGCTTTCAGCAAGTGGTCATAATTTAACAACCAGTTGAGAAATTAACGAGAAATTTCAATGAAATCGACAAATGACTCACTTTTTGAAAATAAATGAAATTAACAAGAAGCGATCAAAAAGCTGAATCCTGTGAAATGTTGTATGGACTCCAGATCGCAAAAAAAGAGATTTTGAGCAATCACAAAAGAGAAATCAATGCTGGAAGATTTGAGGGGCTGCGCGTTAAAATTTTGGCAAATTACCGTAACCCAAAGGGTCAAATGTCTGGGTTTTTCTCGTTTTTTGCTTTAATAATGCAGTTAGATTATTTTATTAACTGTTTCCCTATGTTTTTAGTTCCAACCACTTCGTTTCAATCGTCGGAGAGGTCAAACGGGATTCTCAGCATGCGGACACGGCTCTCGAGAATGAAATCGATTTCTGAGTTTCTGAAAATCTTCAGCATCCGAGCCGAGATCACTCTTCAAGTCGCTCGATAAATTGTTCACGTCAACGAACTAGAATGATTTAAATAAAAATCACAATTTTAGCTTTCAAAACCTGATCTCCATTAGCCTCATCGGCCAGGTGAACGGCCACAAATGTCCCAAGAAGTCTCAAGATGATTCTCAGCATGCGGACACGGCTCTCGAGAATGAAATCGATAAATGACTCACTTTTTCTAGGATTAGTTTTTGAAAATAAATTGAATTAACAAAAAGCGATCAAAAATCAGAATCTTGTGAAATGCATGGACTCCAAATAAGAAATTCGCAAAAAATAAAAACTCTGAGCAATCACAAAAGAAAAAGTGCTGGAAGATTTGAGGGTCTGTGCGCTAAAATTTTGGCAAATTACCGTAACCCAAATGTCTGGGTTTTTCTCGTTTTTTTGCTTTAATAATGAATGCAGTTAGATTATTTTATTAACTGTTTCTTTATCTTTTAAGCAAAGCAATCTATTACAAAAGTAAAGACTTAACTTTGTTGCATCGCTTACTGAAGTATCATTAAGTAAATTTAAAGTAAAAAGTAAAAAAGTAGACAAGTTTCTTATCTAACATTCTAAATTTTGTTTTTGTTTTTGTTAAAATGTTTTTTTTTAAAATTGCTTTATCGAATATTGAAAGTAATAACAGAAAAAACAAAATTCTAACGTTTTTCGTCGACGAAAAGTTTTCATTTCTTCATCCAGACCTAAAACAATAAAATTTATCAGAGTTAGAGTTATTGAAATTCGAAGAAATGTTAATTTTAGAAGATAAAGTAGCCACTGTATGTAATCACCAACTGTAATCACCAAATAGGTCACTTTTGGATAAACTTAATGACTTTTGAGGGTTTTTTTTAGTGTCAGAGTTGCTAAAATTAGATTAAGATAAGACTTTGACTAAACGATAATCTTTTTAATAGACTTTTTTCAATGTCACAAGAGAGGAAAACACTCTAATGGGGCTTCAGAATTGGGATTTTGCTTAAACTATCCTAATCTTTTACCAAGTATAGCGCTGCTCAACTTTCTTTCCTCCGGCCTCTCTTTTTTGAGCACTCTGCCCTGAAATTTTTATTATAATGATAGATTTTCTTCTCTTTTCTGTCAAATTTCAGATAAATACTTGAAAGTTGTTATATGGGTGTGAATAATGTGCGCTTCGAATTCTCCGGTACTGCCAATTTGCCAAGTGTTTGCTTCCGTAATGTTTTGAACAAAAATCAACTACACATTTGCTAGATTTATAATCATTTCTCTTTTCACTTCGCTAGTGAAAGGAGAAATGTTTATAAATCTAGTGAATGTGTAGTTTTTACTGCGAAAATGGATGAAAACAAGCTCGTGCTTTGAGCTGCCTTGCTCGACAATTTCCATCAAGGAACCCCTGCTGAATCTCACCGTTCACTTGGATCAATTATGACAATGTCACTCGAAAAAATCAATGGCTCTTTGCTGGTGAAGCCCCACAAACCACCGCTAAGCCCGATATCCATGGATCGAAGATCATTCTCTGTTTATGGTGGAATTCGAAAGGATTAGTGCATTATGAGGTGCTAAAACCTAGACAAATAGTCCTGAGCTTTACTCGGAACAACTAGTGAGGGTTAACGAAGCTTTAAAGAAATTGGGGACCAAGCCGTCAAGAGTCCGATTTCTAAGACTGAGCTAAACCCCACACTCCAAAAGCTGCTTACCGTATTCTCTCTAATAGTAGTGCGCACTACTATTTTTTCAACCCCCTCCTGGACCGCAACACTATTAGAGAGTGCACTACTATTAAAGAGTTTTATCATTTACCAAAGTAAGACAGATAAGTAAGATTTATTCCAAAAATTCTTGCACTTCTTTCACGTAAACCTTTGGCTCCTTTGGCTCCTTTTCAAATCCAGTTGTGGGCCGGCGAGTTGACAATTTGTGTCTTGACAAACAACAAAAAGATTTTTTTGCACTTTGCACAACAATTTTAGATTTTTTGCTAACTTTTTCATGTGAAGAATAGTTAATAAATGAATAAAAAAAGCCTCACTTGCTTGAATAGCTTTAGAATGTCATAAAAACATAAAGACAAAAAGGTTTAGATGAAAAAGAAGCACCAGAAATTCAAATTTTCAAGGGTGCACTACTATTTTTTCAACCCCCTCTCGGACCGCAATACTATTAGAGAGAATACGGTATTTAAAAATTAAGGAGCTAGCTAGGGAAATTTTGCCCTCACTCCCTGATCTTGCACCTTCAGATTATTTTTTATTTTGAATGTTGAAACATTTCTTGGGAGATGTACAGTTTGATAATAATCAAGACATAAATAAGCTCCACGCCTATTTTACCTCCAAGGAACCGTTTAAATTCGATCCGGGATCTGTGTAGAAGATGGAAAGAAATCATGGATAAAAATTGAGAATACCTTACCGATTGATCTTTGCTTGTTTGAGTTTTTTCAATGAATAGCATTATTTTCTTTACATTTTGATAATACAACGTTTTAGAATCAACATAAAGTTCACCCTGCACACTTCCGCGCATCGCACGTCTGTTCTGTTGACCGCCGGCTTCTCTCTTTTGGTGAGCTCTTGGGGCTAGATTTTTTTCATTTACATTTGCAGTTTTTAGTTGGTTTTTGAAAAATCCGTAGCTAAATAGACTTATCGTACTGTAAAGTGCACTAAAAATATCACACCAAAGCCCCGTTTGACTCGTGTGTCCTCTTCCTCTTCCTCCTCTTCTTCCTCTTCCTCTTCTCTTTTGTTGCGAGTTTCCTCTGAAATCATGCGCTTTTTTATTTTCAATAAATTCATATGTTTTTCCATTCATTTAGATTCTTTAGCTCTTTGTAAATCAAAAATTTGTCGCCAAAATGAGGATTCAAATTGAACTCACCAGCGAATTCTCCTTGTTTTAATGTGCCTCCGCTTTCTTGGAGACTTTCACCGCCTCTCTGGTGACGATTCTCCATGGCTGAAAGTTTTTTCATTTTTTGTGAAAAGACCTATTCTTTCTGTAGTTGTATGTACTCTAAAAGCTTGAGGCAAAATTTTGATCTTTGGAATCTTACCAGAGCAAACCCAAAGACCAACGACGAACAGCAGAGTCAAAAGGAGTAACTTCATTTTGGTTGAGTTGTCGCAAATCAAACACTCTTTCCTTAAATACCCTAAATTTCTTATTTTTTTGTGAGTTTTTCAAGTATTATTTCTTTGCCCTTTTCTATTTATCACTGCGCATTCGTTTGAAAAAAAAAAAGATATTGTTTTCAACGAAAATTGATCGCTTATAAAATGATCTCTTATAAACTGATATCTTATAAAGAATGTACTGATTTTGAAAAAGACTTTAGCTTTAGATTTCTTTCTTTTCTTTACTATTTTTGCATTTGTTTATAGGACAGAAAAAAGTCGTTTTCTTTGAAAGGAAAATAGTTTTCGTTGATTTTTGATTAGCATTTAAGTGCATTTCTTTCATTTGTCATTTGCAAAGTAAATCAATATTTAATAGTAAGAAATATTGGACATTGTGTAACTTCTATCTTCAATATTTCTTTTAAAAAATACAGCGTGCGTCATAATTATTGCAACAAGATACTCGAGGCATTGCACACCAAGAAGTTTCACTGGAAGAAGATTTTTTAAACAGAAATGGCTTTATTTAACAGTAACAAATAAGGAAACAAGAGATCATTCGATATGACCGCCTTTATGAGATATGAGAATGAGTAGTGTCATTGATGGGATCGATGAGAGGCCAAATGAAGCCAAGACTTGAATCAATTCAAGCTTAAATTAATGTAGCTTGCGTCTACGGTACATTTAAAGTTATAGCTTTAAAGTAGTCATGTTTTAAAGATTCACAACTTTGTTTAGACAGAATTTTTCCTAACTTTTTATGTTATTTTAAAGAAAATACGCTTTTAAATGATATAAAAATTGAAAATTTGATTTTGATTTGGTAAAACGTATAGTTATAATCGGTTCCTTGGCCCCGAAAACCACTGGGTACAAATTTACAGCTGAATATCTTCATTTCTAGAAAAATTCCTTATGCACAGGGTGCGTCATAATTATTGCAACAAGATACTCAAGGCATTGCACACCAAGAAGTTTCACTGGAAGAAGATTTTTTAAACAGAAGTGGCTTTATGTAACAGTAACAAATAAGGAAACAAGAGATCATTCGATATGACCGCCTTTTGCCTTGATAACAGCCCTTAATCGGTTTCGGAAATGCCTCCACTGCGGCCCGAATGTCATCTTGAGGAATCGCCTTCCATCATTTGGTCAAAGACTTCTTCAAAGAATCCAAACTTGTGTGTTTTCGAGAGCAGACATTAGCCTCTAAGATTGCCCAAATGGAAAAGTCCATCACATTGAGATCCGGTGAGTTTGGAGGCCATTCATCCTTGGTGATCACTGAGGGAAAGTTGGCCACACACCAGTCCTGAACCGTCTTCTTCGTGTGAGCGGGAGCTCCATCTTGCATGAAGGTCCAATTTTGATTGTTATTGGCTTTACACGCCCATGACACGCCCGTTTTCCTGTTTGGAAAACGGTCTTTGAACTCTTGTTGCAATAATTTTTAGGTTGTCCAGTTATGAATGCGTGTTTTTTACTATTTTGTAAATTTCTCAAGATACCGAAATCAAGAAAAAAATATTTATGAGTATTATTCGAAAGCTGAAGATCTCCTCTACATTTTGATATAAAAAGTTTTTGAATTTGTTCAGCTTTCGGGCAAATTGACTGGCCTGAAGAAGAAGAGGTGGCCAAAAAATGGAAGGGTGCCTTTGGATCAAGTTTTGACTCCGCTCAAATTGAGTTAACCGTTTGATCTTTGGCCAATAGATATATCAATACAACTTTTTTTTAAAATATAACAATTTCAGAGCATCTTTACTTTCCTTTTCTTTTCTGGGCGGTTATTTTACACGATAAAACTTGAGGAATAGCTAAGCTGGAATGGGTTTTTTCGAAAACGACCTCTCCCTTTGTGCAGTCAATTCCCCAAAAAGTTGAATGAATTCAAAAACTTTTTATATCAAAATTTAGAGGAGATCTTCAGCTTTCGAATGATATATAACACTCATATACATCTGCTCGATATCAACCTAATATTTTCATTGCATTTTTCTTTTTCAAGCAAGTTTAAGACAA